TCTATTTTATCAGAGATGAGAATTGCAACTCCTGCCTTTTTTTGCTCTCCATTTGCTTGGTACATCTTCCTCCATCCCTTTATTTTGAGCCTTTGTGTATCCTTGCATGTAAGATGGGTTTCCTGGATACAGCACACTGATGGGTTTTGGCTTTTTATCCAATTTGCCAGTCTGTATCTTTTGATTGGGGCATTTAGTCCATTTACATTTAGGGATAGTATTGTTATGTGTGAATTTGATGCTGTCATTTTGATGCTACCTGGCTGTTTTGTTGGTTAGTTGATGCAGATTCTTGATTGTGTTGATGCTTTTTTACCATTTGGTGTGTTTTTGGAGTGGCTGGTACTGGTTGTTCCTTTACATGTGTAGAGCCTCTTTCAGGAGTTCTTGTAGAGCAGGTTTGGTGGTGATGAAATCTCTGAGTGCTTGCTTGTTCACAAAGGATTTTATTTTTCCTTCACTTATGAAGCTTAGTTTGGCTGGATAGGAGATTCTGGGTTGAAAGTTCTTTTCTTTTAGGATGTTGAATATTGGCCCCCAATCTCTTCTGGCTTGTAGGGTTTCTGCTGAGAGATCTGCTGTGAGTCTAATGGGCTTCCCTTTGTGGGTAACCCGACCTTTCTCTCTGGCTGCCCTTAGCATTTTCTCTTTCATTTCAACCCTGGTGAATCTGACGATTATGTGCCTTGGGGTTGCTCTTCTTGAGGAATATCTTTGTGGTGTTCTCTGTATTTCCTGGATTTGAATATTGGTCTGCCTTGCTAGGTTAGGGAAGTTTTCCTGGATAATATCCTGAAGAGTATTTTCCAGCTTGGATTCATTCTCTTCATCACATTCAGGTACACCTATCAGACGTAGATTAGGTCTTTTCACATAGTCCCACATTTCTTGAAGATTTTGTTCATTCCTTTTTGCACTTTTTTCTCTGTTCTTGCCTTCTCTTTTTATTTCATTGAGTTGATCTTCGACCTCTGATATCCTTTCTTCTGCTTGGTCAATTCAGCTGTTGAAGCTTGTGCATGCTTCACGAAGTTCTCGTGTTGCGTTTTTCAGCTCCATCAATTCACTTATACTCCTCTCTATGCTGTCCATTCTCGTCAGCAGTTCGTCCAATCTTTTTTCAAGGTTCCTATTTTCTTTGCGATGGGTTAGAACATGTTCTTTTAGCTCATTGTAGTTTCTTACTACCCACCTTCTGAAGTCTGATTCTGTCATTTCATCACCCTCCTTTTCCATCCGGTCTGGTTCCCTTGCTGGTGAGGAGTTGTGATCCCTTTTAGGAGGAGAGGTGTTCTGGTTTCGGGAGTTTTCATCCTTTTTGCGCTGGTTTCTTCCCATTTTTGTGGGTTTATCCACCTGTTGTCTGTCTCTGTCCCAGGGAGTTGGAGCTTTATGAGTTTCCCTTGCACTACTGCCTTTTTTGATTTTTCTTTCAGGTCTGACCCGCCCAGCTAGCAGCATGCCTAGCCACTGCCTGCCTGCAGGGGCTTTGCTGAGCTGCTGTGGGCTCCACCCAGCTGCCCTGAGCTCTTCCCTGTAGTCCTTTTTATAAGGGCGTAGTTAGAACTGTCTCGGCAATGGTGGCCCCGCCTCTGTTATGGTGGACTCTCTCTGTTGTGGCAGGTTGCCTCGGCAACGGCAGCCTGCCTCCGTAGTGGTGGAGAGTCTCAGTAATGGCGGAAACCCCTCCCCCACGGAGCCGGACCGTCCTGGTTCAGCTGTGCTTGGTTTGAAGGGCTCAACCCAGAGGGTTTCCAATTACTGTTTTTGTTTTCATTGTTGTTGGGGGTGGAGGGGTGGGACCAACCGAGCCTGATCACCTGGCTCCCTGACTCAGAGTCTTTTCTTTTAAGTTGAACGACCCCGCGTTCCGGTCGCTTGTTGAAAAGGCGCCGGGATCTCCCGTGCTGCGACTCACGGAGTCGGCTCGAACTGCGGCGCCGGCTCCTGGCGGATTTTTTGCCTAGGAATCTCCTGGCCTGACTCGCTATTTCAGATGAATGGGCTATTCTGTCGTCTCAGGGCTCTGCTCGCCAGCTAAGAGGGCTCCCAGACCATTGGCTTTTGTACGGAGAACGGCAGCAACAGGGAGTGGTCACAGCAGCCGCGCAGGCGGAATCAGCCCCACGGGGGTCAAAACAGCCGCACCGGCTGGGACTGCGACGCTGGCGACCCCTCTGCCTGGGTATCTCCTGGTCTGTGGGCAATAAGAGTTCGTCTGGAAATGCGGCGTCCACTCACCCTCTGCACTTTCACTGGGAGCTGAAGTCCTGAGCTGTTCTTAGGCGGCCATCTTCCCAGCATTCCTCCCAACATTTTAACTTTTAAAATTCTTTGTTTCTTTCCAATGACTTCTAGTACTTTCTTCAGATGTATTTTCCAGTTTATTAATTACCGCTTTTAGCTTCTGGTCAAGCTGGAGTGATAGGGACCAGATTTACTCTCCTGCCTGAAATAACTAGAAAGTTGGATGAAATATATGAAACAGTGGTGTTCAGGACACTACGCATCAGGCAATGATGATCAGTGACTTCTGAGAGAGAGGAAACAAATGTGATGAGCTTTACACTTGCTCCAGCTTATTGCCTGAAGAATTTCCAGACTGTGGCACAGGAAAAGGAACCCACATGGAACCCAGTGGTCTGCCCTAAGTTCAGAAGACAGACATAAGAGTCAAAGAAGGCCAAGGCAGCTCAAGTTTGCAGGACAGATACTAGAGGAGAGGTGCAAAGGGTGAGAGCTCCATAGATCTACAAAGGGTATCCTTTGAGTCTTTGGCTGAGTAGAGCTCAGCATGGAGAAAACTACCCAAGGCCAGGGAAAGAACCATGAAAAAATTAGAGGGAATAATACTCAGAGCAGGGCCAGGAAAAGTTCCTGTGCCCTGTGCCCATCAGTTATTTGAAAACCTCATAATTCATAGGGCAACAGGTAGCATACGCAAAAGGGTTTATCTCAGTAGTGAAACAAAATTAGTCCAAGACTAAATGCTACTTTGATCCCACCTAAGAAATCTTAAAGGCAAGACTAAAGGATCAGGCTATTTCCATGTAATTTAACTGCATCCCAGAACAAACCTCGAGTATTTAAAGTCATACAAACTATCTAATAACCAAGAAGGTAAGATTCACAATGGCTGACATCCAATCTAAAATTAAATTACCAGGCACACAAAGATACAGGAAAATATAGTCCAGGATCAGGTGACAAATCAACCAATCCACATGACAGAAATAGAAGGCAAATAAATTAAAACAGTGAAGGGACAGTAATAGAAACTGGCTAAAACAAAACACATCAAAGGTTGATAAACTATTGGGTACTATTGGGTGATGGGATCAATTGTATAGCATCACACAGTATACCCATATACAAACCCCACATGTACACCTGAATCTAAAATAAAAGTTGAAATTATAAAAACAAAAATATACTGAATTGTTAAAAATCCTATCTCTAGAGAGAGTAATAAAAAATGGAAGTAAATTTCTCTTTTTACTCTATGTCTGTATTATATGATTTTTTTCTTTCTTTCTTTCTTTCTTTTTTTTTTTTTTTGAGATGGAGTTTCACTCTTGTTACCCAGGCTGGAGTGCAATGGCGCGATCTTGGCTCACCACAACCTCCGCCTCCTGGGTTCAGGCAATTCTCCTGCCTCAGCCTCCTGAGTTGCTGGGATTACAGGCACGTGCCACCATGCCCAGCTAATTTTTGTATTTTTAGTAGAGACGGGGTTTCACCATGTTGACCAGATGGTCTTGATCTCTTGACCTCGTGATTCACCCGCCTCGGCCTCCCAAAGTGCTGGGATTACAGGCTTGAGCTACCACGCCCGGCTTTATTTTTCTTTTTTAAGAGACAGGGTCTTGCTCTGTCATGCAGACTGGAATGCAGTGCTGTGACCACAGCTCACTGCAGCCTTGAACTCCAGGGCTCCAGTGATCGTCTTACTTGATCCTCCCAACTAGCTGGGACCACAGGTACATGCCACCATGCCTGGCCGATTTGTAAATTTTTTGCAGATATGGGTAAGACCTATCTGGTCTTACCCGGGCTGGTCTTAAACTCCTGGGCTCAACTGATGGCCTCATCTTGGCCTCCCAAAGTGCTGGGATTATAGGCATAAGCCACCATGCCTGGCCTATGATTTTTTATTAAGAGCAAAACAGCAATAATCATAGCTAATACCTACTAAGAGCTTACAATGTACCAGGAATGCCTCTAAGTTCTTTACATGTATTAACTAATTTAATTTTCACAAAACCCTAAGAAGTAAGTACTAACACTATTCTTATTTTACAAATAAAAAAATCAGGGAACAGAAAGGTCAAGTAATTTGCCAACAGGTAATAGGAGACAAAGATGGATCTGAACCCAAGTAATCAGCCTTCAGAGTATACACTCCTAACTGCTGTTATACAACTTTTCTAGCATACTATTTTGTAATTTTTTTGTAAGGAGTTGTAGTCTTGGTCTGTCACCCAGGCTGGAGTGCAGTGGCATCATCATGGCTCACTGCAGCCTCTAACTCTTGGGCTCCAGTGATCCTCCCACCTCAGCCTCCCAAGGAGCTGGGACTACAGGTTTGCATCACCATCCCCAGCTATTATAATTGTATAAAACAGTGTATTAGGCTGGGCATGGTGGCTCATACTTGTAATCCGAGCATGCTGCGAGGCTGAGGTGGACACATCATGAGGTCAGGAGTTGGAGACCAGCCTGGCCAACATGGTGAAACCCCGTCTCTACTAAAAATACAATAAAAAATCAGCTGGGCACGGTGGCAGGCGACTATAGTCCCAGCCACTCGAGAGGCTTGAACCTGAGAGGCGGAGGTTACAGTGAGCTGAGATCACGCCACTTCACTCCAACCTGGGCAACAGGAGCAAAACTCCATCTCAAAAAATAAAAATAAAAACTTAAAAATAGCATATTAAAACTGTAATTGACATAGTTATTTATATAACACAATTTACCCCAAATCCAGTTTGATACATTACCTGATGATTAACACATGTCAAATGTTCAATAGTTTTCTCTAATTCTGATTTTCCATAAAGACCCATTTCCTCAATATGCTGAAAAAGAATGTTAAAAAAAATTTTCATTTGTATCAGAAAACAAAACAAAACCATCATAGTAAGCAATGCCAAGTCTACAGTTCTATTATGTTGTATTTGTTCTTTCATAAAACACAGAAATGTTTTAAAAAGTAAGACATTACTTTCTAAAGAAAGTCATTAGATGTTTTACAAAAGTGATGTTTTTGGTTAAAAAAGGCACAATAGGTTTCTCATCTTTTACACTCTCTACCTCTATGTGTGATTGTAGTAGAAGACACAGATTGGTAAGTATTCATTTATAAAGATTTATACAGATTAATCTGTAATAGCAAAACTATAAAAGGACAAAATCAGCAGGTTAAATAAAATGCTCAGGAGTATGCCCTCACAAGAAGAGATATAAGAGAAACAGAATGCAAAGGAAGACAAGACAAGATCAGAAAGACAAAGGAAACAGAATACTACAGGGCCATGTAAGAGATGCGAGTTTGAATAAGGGGCTGGTCAACAGTATAAACACAGAGACTATTTTTCTGCTAACTTCACTTTACCCAACTTACTGCTGCTAAGTCTAAAATAAACAATATAATTTGGTGTTCACTGGGAGTTTTTCTAGCATGGATTCATATTTCTATCCATGTTATTCATTAAAAAGAAACAGACACATCTGATGTTTGGATTATACATTTGGTTGAGTCACTGTACTGTATGTATGTATGTATGTATGTATGTATGTATTTATTTATTTATTTATTTAGAGACGGAGTTTCGCTCCTGTTACCCAGGCTGGACTGCAATGGTGCGATTCACCACAACCTCTGCCTCCTGGGTTCAGGCAATTCTCCTGCCTCAGCCTCCTGAGTAGCTCGGATTACAGGCATGTGCCACCATGCCCAGCTACTTTTTTGTATTTTTAGTAGAGACGGGGTTTCACCATATTGACCAGGATGGTCTCGATCTCTTGACCTCGTGATCCACCCAAAGTGCTGGGATTACAGGCTTGAGCCACCATGCCCGGCCGTATGTATTTATTAAATCACTCAACTAGTATTGAGTATATACTCTATACCAAGCACCAAGTAAGGTATCAGGAATACAGTAGTGAGTAAAGTGGGTAAAATCTCTAACATCACAGATACTGGAGCCCAGCAGAAAAGACAAAACCTAAATAAGAGCTCAAAATAAAATCCATGAATATTCTGCTAGGAAAAGGAACTTTATGCCAAAATATTAAAAGGGAATCTAGATTCTAGGGTTCATTTCCTATCAAAAGACATGATGTTTGACCTGGACCTAAACAATAAACGGAAATTAGCTGGACAAGAAGATTGGAAGGTGTGAAGGAATCTTTCAATAGCCTATGTAGAAGGTTGGAGGCAAGAAAAAGTCCATTAAGCTTGGAGTCTTGTGAACAGGGGAGACGAGTTTAGGGGAAAGAAGCTAGACCCTGAGGTAGGCAAGGGCCAATCACTGAAGTCCTCAAAAACAATTAATGGATTTTAAATAGGAAGTGATATGATCAGATTAATATATCTGAAAGATAATTCTGGCTTCAGTGTAAAATACAGCTTTGAGAGAGGCAAGATTAGAACAGGGGCCATTCATACAATAATGCAGGTGAGAGAGAACAATGACCAGACCAGGACGGAAGCAGGGGAACGGAAAGAAGTAAATAAATTCAAGAGAAAGTAACATGAGCCCCAGAAGCCAGATTCTTGCAACTCATAGCTGGGTGACGGTGGGCAAGTTATTTAAACTCACTGTAACTGAGATCTCATCTGTAAGCAGTACCTATTAAATACAGCTGGGCAAGGTGGCTAATGCCTGTAATTCCAGCACTTTGGGAGGCTGAGGCAGGTGGATCACCTGAGGTCAGGCGTTGGAGACCAGCCTGGCAAACATGACGAAACCCCTATCTCTACTAAAAATACAAAAAGTAGCAGGGCATGGTGGTGGACACCTGTAATACCAGCTACTTGGGAGGCTGAGGCAGGATAACTGCTTTAACCTGGAAGGTAGAGGTTGCAGTGAGCTGAGATCGAGTCATTGCACTCCAGCCTGGGTGACAAGAGTGAAACTGTCTCAAAAAAAAAAAAAAAAGGCTATTACAGGCTGGGTGCAGAGGCTCATCATGCCTATAATTCTAGCACCTCGGGAGGCCAAGGTGGGCAGAGTTAGACCAAGCTAGCCAACATGATGAAACTCTGCCTCTACTAAATCACTTGAACCCAGGAGGCGGAGACTGCACTGACCCAAGATCGTGCCACTGCAGTCCAGCCTGGGCAACAGATCAGAGCGAGACCACCCCTCAAAAAAAGGCTATTGTGAAGATTTACTAAGACAATCCATGTAAAAAGCACTTAATAGAACAAAGCCTCTCACATGGGAAAGGCTTAATATATGCTAAATATTATTCAAGAGATAGATAGCACTTATGGGACTTGGTGATTGAGAGACAGATATGAGCTTTCAGGGAGCTCTTAGTGATAGATGATGCTTGAATTTGACAACTAGTTAGACAGTGGAATAATGGGAAAAACTGGAAGAGGTTTAAGGATTGCGATTAGTTGCATTTTTAAGTAAAAGACCTGTTATAAACTCATAAAATCCTGCCTCCTGTAACCCAGAAGGATTCTGGTAATACGAATGTTGTTTTTTCCAAGCTTTCAGTACTACTGCATTTTTAAAATCCTATTTTTACATTCTTTGGTCATTTCAAAAGATATGGAAAAGGATAAGTCAGTAGCTTGTGCTAAAAGCTGCCATACTGCACAGAAGTTTCCCATTTGGCAATTTTAACACTTATTTTTATAAGAAAACACTTTCTGGAAGGCAGTATTCCAAAAGATTCCAATTAAAAGTATTCTTAAACTGTTATATTTAGGGTGAAATTTTAACTGAACATTGTGACATAAAGACTATGCTTATAATGCTAAAACATTTTTATTTCTAATTTTAGCTGCTACTTTCAAATCATTAATTCAATAATATTGATTGCAAATAAACTATGGACTCTATAATAATAGAATTTAGTACTTATAATGCGCTAATCATTGTTAAGTGCTTTATATGTATTAATATACTTATATTTTTGGAGATTATAAAAGAAACTATAAAGTACTGACCCTACACATGGCACCAAACGTACAAGCAACAAAAGAAAAAAATAGGTAAGTTGGACTTCATCCAAATTAAAAAATGTTGTTTTTCAAAGACATCAATGAGAAAGTGAAAAATGACCCACAGAATGAAAGTATTTGCAAATCACATTATCTGATAAGGGTTTTATCTAGAATATATAAAGAATGTTACAACTCAATAATAATGAGACAACTCAATTTAAAAATGGGCAAAGAATCTGAACAGACATTTCTCCAAAATGGATATAAAAATGGGCAATGAGAATATGAAAAGATGCTCAACATCATTAGCTACGAGGCAATGCAAATCAAAGCCATAATGGAGGGCCGGACGCAGTGGCTCATGCCTATAATTCTAGCACTTTGGGAGGCCGAGGCCAGCAGATCACCTGAGGTCTGGCGTAGGAGACCAGTCTGGCCTAGGAGACCAGTCTGGCCAACATGGTTAAACACCATCTCTACTAAAATTACAAAATTAGCTGGGCGTGGTGGGGCATGTCTGTAATGCCAGTAACTTGGGAGGCTGCGGCAGGAGAACTGCTTGAACCCGGTAGGCGGAGGTTGCGGTGAGCCAAGATTGCGCCATTGTACTCCAGCCTGGGCAACAAGAGCGAAACAATCTCAAAAAAAAAAAAAAAAAAAAAAAAAAAAAAAGCCACAATGGAGACTACTTCACATGCACCAGAATGACTATAATATAAAAGGAAATAGTACCAAGTATTGGGGAGAACATGTAGAAATTAGAAACTTTATTCACTACTGGTTGGAATAAAAACAGCTTGGTTGTAGTGGTTAAAGATTGACTTATCACATGACCAGGAATATACCAAAGAGAAATGAAAATATATATCCACACAAAAAGCTGTATATGAGTTCCTGGCAACATTATTTATGGATGAAGCTTGAAAACATTACGCTAGTGAGAGAAGTCCGACATTTAAAAATCACATATTGAATGATTCAATTTATATGAAATGTCCGGAGTAGGTAAATCCATAGAGACAGCAATGGACTGGTGGCTGCCTATGGCTGAGGGGGATGGCAGAAATGGGGAGTGAGGCTACTGTGTTTCAGAGTTTCTTTTTGTGGTGATGAAAATGCTCTAAAATTGACTGTGGTGATGGTTAGTTACACAAGTCTGTGAGTATACAGCTAGTCTCTGTTTTACAGGGTTTATCAGGATGTAACCCCAGTATAAGTTAAGGAGCATGTAGACTTAACAATGGCTTAAGAATTTTCTATGTAAGACTTTACAATGGGTTTATTGGGGTATTAAATGCATTTCTCCCATTACATTTTTTACTTACAATGGTTTTACTGGAATGTAATCCCACTGTAAGTCAAAACCAATAAATTGGTATACTTTGAGTGAATTATATAGTGTGTGAATATCTCCATAAAGCTGTTACTAAACAAACAAACAAACAAAGATAATGTCTTCCCATATGAGAAACTTCCTACTAAGTTCAGGGATTGGCAAACTTTTTAGGTAAAAAACCAGACAGTATATATTTTAGGTTTTCTGGGTCATACTACAAAAGCAGCTACAGATAATACATAGACAATTGAGCAAGGTATTCCAGTAACAGTTTATCAACAATGAAATATTCTTCTTAATCCATTCTTAACCCACAGGCCACACACAAACAAAGTGGTCTGGATTTGGAATACTAACTTCACAGGAAAATGTATACAAATACCTCTTCTTCTCAACAAGTTACCTTTCAAAAACATGTCAATCTTCTTACCTCTAATTTTTCTTTTAAAGCTTCCTTTTCTGTCATAATTCTTCTTAAGTCAGATAACGCAAGTTCTTTTTCCTTTTCCATAAGACTAACAATATTATGGGGTGTTGTGGTTTGGGTGGATTCCTGTCTTAGGGCGGATAATTCTTCCTGAGCCTTAAAGAATTAAAAGAAATAAATTAAAAAGGCACTTTGGCAGGGCACGGTGGCTCACACCTGTAATCCTAGCACATTGGGATGCCAAGGTGGGCAGATCATGAGGTCAAGAGATGGAGACCATTCTGGCCAACACGGTGAAACTCCGTCTCTACTAAAAATAAAAAAATTAGCCGGTTGGGGTGGCACGTGCCTGAGGTCCCAGTTACTTGGGAGGCTGAGGTGGAAGAATCACTTGAACCCAGGAGGTGGAGGCTGCAGTTAGCCAAGATGAGATTGCACCACTGCACTCCAGCCTGGCGACAGAGCAAGACTCCGTCAAAAAAAAAAAAAAAAAAAAAAAAAAAAAAAGGCACTTTGGTAAAAGATATAAATAAAAAATACTTTGGCTATGTTCCCAGTTAAAAAAGGCATACCGAACACATGCTACCTTCACCCTCTTCCCAAATCCCAACAAAATGAGAGTAAAAGGATTAAAATAGTAAGAATAATAAAAAAAGACAAGGGGATCGAGGGAGGAACCAGCCACAAAATGTTGGAAACTAGACAGCAGACAGACAAGTAGAATTAACTAGGCAGACCCAAGAAAGCTGAAATGCAAGCCAGTGATGGGGAAAGCCCAGAAGTGGGTCAACTGACACTGCAAAATCCCCCCCAAAAACTCAAAAAAGTGACTCTTTCAGCTTGACCTTTTAACTTGCATGCCTCCTCCCCTTCTCAAAATAGCAGGATTTCATGGGAGATGGGTATGTGAACAAATATGGGTGGCAGACACAATGCTTCGCTCAGACTTACCTTGCTCTCTAACAACTGAGGCTTTGCTAATGGGGCCAAGCTGAACCCCAATTCCCTCTTCCTAGAGTACACTATTTACAGACAAAGTCCTAAATAGGCAAAATATCCAAATAGTTGGTGCTACCCACTGTTTTGACAGATATTTCCCCACACCTCTGAATTCTAAGCATAAATTTGGCTCAGAGTCAGGCTGAGACCCATTCCAGGTAGTTTAAAAAAAAAAAAAGATTATTTCTAACTGATCTGATACATAGATAGGCTAGAAAAGGGAAAGAATAAACATGAAAAAATAAGAGAAATATCTGCTTTAGAAACAGGATGATAGTAGAAACTACTACTGCTAATTTTAATTCTGAGGCAATATCACAGGTCCATATATTATAGTAATGTGAAGGATATACACCAGCTCCATTATAGTTAACTGGTTCCATACAATCTATTGGCTTAATCATAATAAGTCTCTTACTTCATTATATAAGACACTTAGTTTATCTCTTTCTGCCGTCAGTAATTTAACATTGGATTGTATATCCTCCATATATTTTTCAAATCTTTCTAGCATACGTTGAAGTTCATCTCTTTCTCTTGTGATCTGATGAATTTCTGAATTGTAATCACCCTGAAATAGAATTAAAAAACAAAAGTTACCATGTTATAATCATCACTACATGGTTGTCACAGGATACTGATGATGAGACTGATTGAAAGATGCTACCGGACAAAAAGAACACAAGTGCCTTTAATGTGATTAGGAACACAGTTTTCAAAATCTATGATGAGAGCAGATGAGAGTACTGGCAGTACTGGGGCAAATTTCCTGGGCTTCAAGTTCCCAGAAGAGACTTAGCTGCCAATGGCATGACTTGATCAGATCCCATGAGATGCTACAACTTTTATTCTCACAAAGTTGTTCATACTAGTGGTACTTAAAGCGTAATCCCCAGACCAGAAGCAGCAGCAGTAACTTGTTAGACATGCAAATTTTGGAGCTTGGAGCCCAACCCAGACCTACTCAGTCAGAAACTTCAGAGTAGAGCCAAGTAACTGTATTTTACCAAGGCTTCAAAGTGATTCTGATGCCTGGTAATTTTTTAGAGCCACTAGTTAGTTTATCTTCTACAGAGAAGGGGCCAGGAAGTTATCTATGTATCTGCTCACCCAGTACAGATAACTGTAACGGCCTGGTATATTCCTCAGTGTTTTCTATGACTGAATCTAAATTAATACCCCAGGCATACCAACTCCCAACTGTCTCAGCTTCAGACCTACAGGAGGCCTATTTATACAGTCAAATGAATGTAAATATTTCTACCAGGCAGTGTATACTAAGAATATTCACTGAATAAGCAACTACTTCCAAAATTTCTACAATTTAGTACAATTCAAAAGATGCCCACAATTTAGTACAATTCAAAAGATTCACTGTCGTCATCACTATGGTAGAAAATAAAGATGAGGGCATTCTGATTCTCCCCACACACGTGTAAATAAATGTGTATGTCTTTTTCTATTTTTAAAAAAAAGATAATAAATGTAGACTTGGGATCTATGGTATCTTAATGTTACAAGTACTAAATGTAGAAGTGCCAAGCAGGGCTAATTTAATAATATGACACACCGAAAAGAGTCCTGGCCTTTAATATTCAATATCTGTTGTGCCAATATCTCATACAACGTAGATTTGGTAAATAATAGATATCTGTGAGGTACCTCTCACCTGCATTTGGAAATAAGTAATCTCTTGGTTAAACAAGCAAAAAAAAAGACATGATGGATAGGATTAGTTATCTAAACACTTTAAAGGACAAGATGTTTTATAGTACAAAAGCAGATTAGGATTTTGAGACATAACCAAGGTAACCGTAAAAGAAACTGTGTAACATAACCATATCTACATTTAAAAAGTCTCGGCCAGCTGTGATGACGTTTGTGATCCTAGCACTCTTGGAGGCCAAGGCAGGAGGACTGCTTGAGGCCAGTTCTTGAGTTCAAGACCAGCCCAGGTAAAAGAGCGAGACCCTGCCTCTGCAAAAAATTAAACAATTAGCCAGGCATAGTGGCGCACATCTGTAGTTCTAGCTACTTGGAAGACTTAGGCAAGAGGATCACTTGAGCCCAGGAGTTCAAAGTTACAGTGAGCTATGATCACACTACTGCACTCTAGCCTAAGGAACAGAGTGAGACTTTCTCTCAAAGCAAAACAAAATAATCTTCCAGCCAGGCGCGGTGGCTCAAGCCTGTAATCCCAGCACTCTGGGAGGCCAAGGCAGGTGGATCACGAGGTCAAGAGATCGAGACCATCCTGGTCAACATGGTGAAACCCCGTCTCTACTAAAAATACAAAAAAGTGGCTGGGCATGGTGGCACGTGCCTGTAATCCCAGCTACTCAGGAGGCTGAGGCAGGAGAATTGCCTAAACCCAGGAGGTGGAGGTTGCGGTGAGCCAAGATTGCGCCATTGCACTCCAGCCTGGGTAACAAGAACGAAACTCCATCTCAAAAAAAAAAAAAAAAAAACCTCCTTCCAGAAAGGAGTCTGTACAGATTCTAGAAAAGGAAAGCTCAATAAATAAAGATTTGACAGTCTATTTTTTAATTACTGTTTAGGTCTCAGCTTAAATGTCACTTTCTCCAAGGAATTCTTCCAGATTCTTCAATCTAATTTAGATCTCCTTCTATATACTCTTACAGTATTTTTTAATCTCTTCTGTACTTTCTTCATAAACACATTATAAATGAGGTTATAAAGTTGTTTACATGATCGTGTGTTTAATGTGTGTCTGTACTACTAAAATTTAAGCTCTATAAGGGCCACAGAAGGAACCTGGCCTTTTTCATCACCACTTCAGTGTCCAGTATGGTACCCAGGAAAACAGGAGTTCCGTGAACATTAATTGACTGACTTTCTTGAGCAGAAACTAACTCTTCTTTAGGTATATCTGATGTACATATTTCTGTTATTGTTAATGTATAATAATTGGGAATAACACCCTTTACTACTCCATTCATTGTCCCCTAAACACACACAAGCACTGAAGGCTGCAAGGACAGGAACTGTCTTCTTCATCTCTGTATTCTCTGTATTCTATGCCTCATTCAGAGCAGGCACTCGGTATTTATCTCTTGACTGACTAATTTTCTACCAGAACTGATTTGCTTTGAACCAGCAAATAATAAGGAAATAAACCATTCACTGGTAACTAGGTGTTACACTGGATACGTACACAATTATCTCATTGATCAAAGGGCATAAAGTTTCAGTTAGACTGGAGGAATTTTTCTTTTCTTTGAGACAGAGTCTTGCTCTGTCACCAGGCTGGAGTGCGATCTCAACTCACTGCACCCTCTACCTCCTGAGTTCAAATGACTCTCCTGCCTGAGCCTCCTGAGTAGCTGGAATTACTGGCATGCACCACTATGCCCAACTAATTTTTTTTTTTTTTTAGACGGAGTTTTGCTCGTTACCCAGGTTGGAGTGCAATGGCATGATCTCGGCTCACCACAACCTCCACCTCCTCGGTTCAGGCAATTCTCCTGCCTCAGCCTCCTGAGTTGCTGGGATTACAGGCACGCGCCACCATGCCCAGCTAATTTTTTGTATTTTTAGTAGAGACGGGGTTTCACCATGTTGACCAGATGGTCTCGATCTCTTGACCTCGTGATCTACCTGCCTCGGCCTCCCAAAGTGCTGGGATTACAGGCGTGAGCCACCACGCCCAGCCCAATTTTTTGTATTTTTGGTAGAGTCGGGGTTTCACCATGTTGGTCATGAACTCCTGGTCTTGAACTCCTGACCTCGTGATCCACCTGTCTTGACCTCCCAAAGTGCTGGCATTACAGGAGTGAGCCACCGTGCCCTGCTGGAATGTTTTAATAACCTATTACGTTGCATGGTAACCAGTTAATAATAACATATTGTATACTTAAAAACTGCTAAAAGATTTTTAACATTGGCACCACAAAAAAAACAGTAAGTTGGTGAGGAAATAGACATGTTAATTGGCTCTGAATCTTTCTACAATGTATACATAGATCAAAACATCCAACTGTAGTCTATAAATAAACGTATTGTCAATTAAAAATAAAACCAACAAATTATCTCATTCAGTCTTTACAAGAAGTTGTAGTCACTTTCCCCACTCTGCAAATGAGGGAAACAGGGTTCCAGGAAGTTAGGTAACTTCTCTAATGTCATTAAGCCAGTTTGCGGAGCTGCAACTTGTGTTAGGCTCCAAATGCAAAGCACTTCTGCCTACACCATACTCAAAACTCACAGTGGGAACCAGGGTGAATACAAGGTGAGGGGGACAGTACCCACCCTACACCGGGAATAGAGAATTGATATTAAAAAGTGTTGCCAGGCATAGTGGCTCATGCCTGTAATCCCAGCACGAGACAGGCAGATCAGTTGAGGTCAGGAGTTCAAGACCAACCTGGCTAACATGGTGAAACCCCATCTTTAAAAAAAAAAATTTTTTTTTTTTAAAAGTGTCAATTTTTGGGGCCGGGCACGGTGTCTCAAGCCTGTAATCCCAGCACTTTGGGGGGCTGAGGCGGGCGGATCACGAGGTCGAGAGATCGAGACCATCCTGGTCAACATGGTGAAACCCCATCTCTACTAAAAATACAAAAAATTAGCTGGGCATGGTGGCATGTGCCTGTAATTCCAGCTACTCAGGAGGCTGAGGCAGGAGAATTGCCTGAACCCAGGAGGTGGAGGTTGCGGTGAGCCGAGATCGCGCCATTGCACTCCAGCCTGGATAACAAGAGTGAAACTCCATCTCAAAAAAAAAAAAAAAAGTGTCAATTTTTGGGGCCGGGCGCAGTGGCTCAAGCCTGTAATCCCAGCACTTTGGGAGGCCAAGGCGGGTGAATCACGAGGTCGAGAGATCGAGACCATCCTGGTCAACATGGTGAAACCCCGTCTCTACTAAAAATACAAAAAATTAGCTGGGCATGGTGGCTCGTGCCTGTAATCCCAGCAACTCAGGAGGCTGAGGCAGGAGAATTGCCTGAACCCAGGAGGCGGAGGTTGCGGTGAGCCAAGATCGCGCCATTGCACTCCAGCCTGGGTAACAAGAGCGAAACTCCGTCTCAAAAATAAAAATAAAATAAAAATAAAAAAGTGTCAATTTTTTTCTGAGTTATTACAATCCTAAACAACTGTGCCTAACAATTTGCCATAAAGCAGAGGTTGAAAACCCAGCTAGTACCAAATCCAGCTGCAGAACGGTCTTTGTTGTTTGCCAACCAAATGTTCATGAACATGTTTAAAACAGCTAATTTTACGGCAGGCATCATGGCTCACATTAGTAATCCCAGCACTCTGGGAGGCCAAGGCAGGCAGATTACTTGAGATCAGGTGTTTGAGACCAGCTTGGGCAATATGGTAAAAATCTGTTTCAAAAAAAAAAAAAAAAAGAAAGAAATTAGCCAGGCATGGTAGCATGTGCCTATAGTCCCAGCTACTCAGTAGGCTAAGGTGGAAAAATGCCTTGAGCCCAGGAGGCAGAGGTTACAGTGTGCCAAGATCATGCCACTGCACTCCAGCCTGGGTGACAAACTCAATAAATAAATAAAGTAAAATAAAATAGCTAATTTTAGGTGGGGAATGCACTTCCTAGTTCCCAGTACTCCCAACTGTCTTACATCCCACCTATTTCATTCATATATTTACCCACTATCCTCTATCATGCCTGCAATTTATTACTGGGACTCTAAAATGCTCTGAACACCCTGCTTTTCTGAACTCTAGAAAATAAATTCTTTGTCTACACCAGGTACCATTATAACTTCGACAATATAAGTAAGTTGAGGGGGAGAAAAATTTTACCTAATTTTACTAGTGCCTTACCAATATCTCTCACACACTTGTCTTTCAAATGTGAATCCAACACAGAGCAACTGAATAAAATATTTTGGTTAAAAGCTCTGAGATATTTATCTCCTTAGTATTTCATACTTGATTAAAATGATCATTTTGTGGGAGATTCCTCTATAAAACAAAAATGATCAATTCAGTCACTTTTCCTGAGTCCTAAGTACATACAGAACTTAAAAAAAATTCAGCAACATATAAATTACTAATAACTTGTACTGCATTTTTCCACCAATTCTTTTTTTTTTTTTTTTTTGTCACCCAGGCTGGAATGCAGTGGCAAGATCATAAATCACTTCACCCTTGCACTCCTGGGCTCAAGCAATCTCCTTCCCTCAGCCTTCCCAGTAAGTGGTACTAGAGGTGCCTGACACTATGCTCAGCTAATTTTTTACTTTTTCTTTTGTAAAGAAGGAGTCTCGTTGAGTTGACTAGACTGGTCTTGAACTCCCGGCCTCAAGTGATCCTCCTGCCTTGGCCTCCCAAAGTGCTGGAGTTACAGGTTTGAGCTACCACACCTGGCCTCATTCTTATAATAGATAACATAGTATAGTGTTTATACTGACAACTGTAACTCAAAATTCATAAGCCATTAGCTTATGAGGTTAAAAAATGAAGTCTAATCAGAAGACGAAACTGTTTGACAATGGACACAAGATCTTCAGGGAAAACACGACAGAACTGGCAAATTCAGCCAAGGCTGAAAGCAAATGTTTTGAGTTTTAATGGGCTACTCCCCACTCCCAGATTTCCCCTAATTTTACCTAGTATGTAGATAAAGTCACATAAGCCTTTCAAGACTCCTGAACTCCAAAGCTTAAAAGAAGGAATATCTGAAGAACTCAAATGATACTCACAAAACACTAAAAATAATTAAGAGTTAAATTTTAATCTCTCATGAATCATGGTCAACTTTAATAAACACAATAGGAGATGCAACTAGAAAATGACATAAAGTGAACATTTTTGGATCATCAATTTCCAAATATGGTTGCAGAGGACAAACAAAACAATCTGTACAGCACCCACTTGCCATTTCTATCTATCTCCCCTAGCACAGTTAATAGAGAAGATGCTTGGTCAGCAGAATGTAACACACCTTCCTAATTGGTCCAAGGCTAGAAACGATATGAAACCATGTTGCCTGCGATGCATATAAAACCACTCTGCTATGAGAGAGAAAATGCAGCTGATATAGAAAGTAAACTGTGCCTGGGCACAGTGGCTTACAGATCCCAAAGTGCTGGGATCTGTAATCCCAGCACTTTGGGAGCTCAAGGTAGGTGGATCACAAGGTCAGGAGTTTGAGACCAGCCTGGTCAACATGGCTAAACTCCATCTCTATTACAAATACAAAAATTAGCTGGGCGTGGTGGCACGCGCTTTTAATCCTGGCTACTTTGGATGCTGAGGAAGGAGAATCACTTGAACCTGAGAGGTGGAGGTTGCAGTGAACCGAGATCACATCATTATACTCCAGCCTAGGCAATGAAGAGTGAAACACAGTCTCAGAAAAAAACAAGAAAGTAAACTCTAAAAAGAGAGAGAATATCCAACAATGAGTCCTGGAAGCCCAGGTGCCTCTACACTTCTTCTACAACTTAGCTATTCAGCCCTTCCTTAATTTCTAGTAATCAATATGTTATAGTTTGTTCTTATGTAATTTTCCTAATTAATGCTGCGTTCCTACAGTACAGGCCATGGAAGAAAACAAAATCAAAATCAGAACTTTTTCAAAGCAAGAATGAATAAAGTTACATTTACTATAATAATAAACCAGCAAAGTTTATTCATAAAGATGCTTTCTGGCCTTATCACTTACTCTTATAAAGGGACATTACCTTTTCTGGTGTTCTAAATATTGAACTTTTTTCACGTGCGTTATAATTTGCAGAGCAAGATCTTCGCTGTATTATATGTTGAAGTCTCTCTAGCTCTTTCTTATAATAATCTCGTTCTTCTTCTATACCTTTCAGAAATGTATCTAAACGAGAAGGTGACCTGTCTCGACGTTTTATTCCATGTTCTAGTCTCATCCTCTCAACTTCCAAAGTAAGTTCTCTTTCTGCAAATTAAAGTGATTAACTCTTAAAATAGTGTTGCATACGTAATGTTGATTAGTCAAGTAAATTATATTAATAACTTTTAGAATGAGAGCTACTAGAAATCATGAACTGTTCTATATATCACCTGTAAGTACTAAATCTATTGAAGAGGTAAATATTCAGAAGAAAAAAGAAAAAAAAAGCAAAAATTAAAAGTTTAAATGAAGTCCAATAGGTCCAAGTCCTCCTGCTTTTGTCTTATTTTAAAGTGGGTACTATTCAGTACTACAAAATGAAGCAATAAATTACCACATGGTACTTTCCTGGGATCTAAAAATGCACTAAAATATATATATATATAAACAATCATAATATGCATAAACTTAACATTAAGCTTGAATTTAAAACAGCATACACATATTCAAAGAGAGTTAAATAACTCAAATAAATATTATTATTAGCTTTTACCACAGCAATTTCCTCTTCATGAGTCAAAAGTAACCAAATACTGGCAATTTCACATAGTCGAACCTAATTTAATTTAAGTTCATTGCAACTCTGAGGCATGGAATGATTTTCCTGATGTATTCTGATTTACGCACATCTCTTCTTTCATTCATTCAACAGATATGTATTAAGCATTTACTATATGCCCAGCACTAGCTAAGGATACAAGTATGAAAACCATAGCCAAGGCTGAACAACTATTCTAACTGTAGTAGGATAAAACCTACAAAAGAATGTGCAGTGCAAACTCGAGGATGAATGGCAAATTTGTCCCAAGAAGGAATGACCAGAGAAGTAAAAAGAAAGTAGGAGTGTGGGAAAGAATGGCCAACTGGGTTAAATGCAGTCAAATAAGCTAACGAATGAAAAGTATCCACTGCATCTAGCAAAACGGAGGTGAATGATGACTTTAACAAGAGCAATTGTGTTGAAGAGGTGGGAACAGAAGCCAACTGGAGTGGACTGAGGAGCTATGGGGTAGTGGGTGATCAAGCAGAACAGCAAGCATGGATGACCTTTCAAGATGCTGAAGCTATGAAGAGTATGAAGAGAAGAGAAGAGTGGCTGGATAGGAATGGGTCAAAGTTTTTGTATTGAAATTGATGAAGAACTTTCCTCAACAGGATGAAAGAAAAAAAAAAGAAAAAATTTTTTTAAAAAAACAAGAAATTGGTGAAAAATAAGCATGTCTGAATGCCAATGGGAAAAACAGTACAAAGATTACAATTATGGAGAGGAGATCATTAATTTAAAGGTTTTTAAAATCAGAGAAGTTACGATTCAGAGAATAGATGGAGTCACTGGTCTTTCCTAAGAGGGACACTCCTGACTGAACAGGAAGGAAGATGCACAGGTTTTTAACCTGAGGTCAGAGGACTGAGTGAATGCCTGCAATGGCTTCCTTCTTTTTGGAAAACTGGAGGTAGAATCATCTACTCAGAATGAGGGGGGTAATGGGACTCCCAAGTTTACTGACAATGCAAAACATTTCAAAATATTCCCCATGGAGAATGGAAGATCAAATGCTAAGAGAAATAATGTAAGATATGGCACAGAGTGTCCTGCTGAGGTTCAGGACCATCTAATTTACAGTGCTCTCAATGTGCCTGGTGCACACTCAAACAGCTGCCCATGTGTAAAAGTGTAGAAGGCAAATTGTTTGGCTCATCCATGGCTGAGTGTCTGGCAGAGGGATGTACACAAAACACAGGGAAGTGAGAGTCTGAGACAGCTGAAAGATTACACTCAAATGATAGGCCACACATAGCTATCAAAAGAAGTATATTTTAGACTTTTATATATGGTTCTAAGCACTTTAACATATCAACTCATTTAATGATCAAAACAACCTTTCAGGGTAGGTGTCATCATTAGCCCCAGTGATAGGGAAACCAAGGCACGGAGAGCTTCAGTAACATGCTCAAGTTACACAGCTAGTAAGTAGAGAGGAGGTCAAATAGATTATCCACATGGGCCTAGGATAGAGTCTCTTCTTAATATGGTACATTGGCTTTCTTTCTCTTCCTAAGACACGCCATTTGATGGCACCAAGCTTCTGCACTTGCCATTTTCTCTGCATAGAAAATTAGACCCCATCTTCATATTGCTGGTGTCTTGTCATTGAGCACTTCATGCAATCTCTAGTACATCCTCCCATTCTAATTTAATACCTCTTATCAACTAAAATTAGCTCCTTCACTTATGTGCCACTAGTCTGTTTCCCTAACAAGAAAAAAAGGCTCTGCAAGAGCAGGGCCCTTATGTATTTTGTTTTTGTTTGCCACTATATACCCTAGCAGTCAAAATAGGGCCTGGCACACACCCATAAAGCAGGTGATTAAGAAACATTGGTCAAATTGATGAATGAATGAATTCTGATGTTCCTTATGCCAAGTCATTCAGGGCTGGTACCTGCAGAAAGTTAGCCGATCTTGTGTGTGTGTGTGTGTGTGTGTGTGTGTGTGTGTGTGTGTATTTTAAGATAATACAACTGCATTTCCTTGAAAAGATTCTGTACTTCAGTTTTCTACTATCAAAATAGGCTTCCCTTTAGTTTTATTTAATTCTATTATTAGTCTGTCTCAAAGAAGTACACATTTCTATTGGAAAATATTCAAGCAGGGTTCCCTGTATAAACTAGTCAAAACATAAAAATTCTAAGGTCCTTGAGGGAAAGATTTCTACTGTATCTACAGTACCTACTATGGTTTCCGGCTAATGGTAAACACTCAACAAATATTTATTGAATGAATGACTGAATGAATGAAAGATTATCTACTAAGAAAAACAATACATCAAGAGGAAATCACAATCATTTTTTAAGTCATCAAAATTTGACATCTTACCTGTAACTGCAAAATTTTCAACTTTTTTGCTAAGTCTTTGCTTTTCTTGTTCAAGCTGATGAACAACAGTTTCTAGATCTGATTTTACAAGGAGTTCATCACTCAGTCTCTCCTTTTCTTTATGGCATAAGTTCAATTCCTGCAAATTGTAATACTATAATTAAGACATCTAACATCTTTATAAAATAGTATCATACTTAAAAGTAAAATAGATTTTTATAAGCACATTTACAAAACAGCAACTTACATGTGTGTGAACAATTAGTCAAATATATGGTTTCAATTAAACTTAATTATCATTTGTAGCTGAAAGTACTGTAAAACACAAATATCAACAATGTTTCTTTGTGGGTGGGAGAATTATTAGATTTTATTTTCTTCTAGTTTGGCATGTTGCCCTATTTTTTTCTAAATGAACATGTACTTATATGATTTCAAAAATTAAAGCTTTTTCACGGTTAAGAGAGCAGTAATAAGAAAAAGTCTTCTAAGACCACCACATACAGTGTATCTGTAACTATACTGGTTATTCTCTCAGCCTCATCTGCACAACAAGGATAAGACCAGGACACTAAGGATTCACTGGCGAGGATCAATCTATGGTTATGAAGTATTTTCCATGGTAACCAGCATGTCCCTATGGTAAGTGCTTAATAAATGTTAGCTACGAATATCATCATTCTTATCTTAAAAATTCATAGAATCTTGCATTACTGGAAAAAATAAGAAAGGTAAGAAAGTATGGCAACATGGCAACATCTTATTGTCAGCCAACACTAGTGAAACTGGGTCACAGTTCTGAGACAAGTGTTATGAATCACGTCCAACATTTAGTGCACATACAACTAGCAGTGAACAAACAGCAAAAATCCCTTGCTCTCATGCTTCCTTTTAAATTGACATATGCCACCAGAACACTCCAGCTAGACTGTGTAAAAAGTATACATAAAGAAAGAACTTGGAAATTAGTATTTACCTTTCTTTCCAATCTTAGAGAAAACTCTTCCAATTCAACAGGCTATTTTTAAAAATCCTCAATCATTTGGGTGACTACTTGGTTTCTACCTATAAGCAAGACACTCTTTCTGCTAACTCCAGACTTTAGGACTGTATACTTTTTCTGTATGCTATATTTAGGCTTCTGTTGGGATGATCACTTCCTTAGTCATTTGAAGACTACCAGAACAAGAAATGTGACTAGGAAAATGGTTTGTATTATCAAAAAAGCTATTAAATGAAGACTGGGCTGAACACAATGGCTCACGCCTGCACTCCTAGCACTTTAGGAGGCTGAGGCAAGAGAACCACTTGAGCCCAGGAGTTTAACACCAGCCTGGGCAATATAGTAAGACCTCATTTCTACTAAAAAAAAAAAAAAAAAAAAAAGGCTAGGCACGGTGGCGCATGCCTGTAGTCTTAACCATGCAGAAGGCTGAAGTGGGAGGATCACTTGAGCACAGTGGGGTCAAGGCTGCAGTGAGCTATGATCATGCCACCGCACTCTAGCCTAGGTGACAAGGCAAGACCTTGTCTCTAATAAATAAATAAATGAGGATGGAGTGCCTTTTGTAATAATCAACAAATATTTCAAGTAATTAATTTCTGGTATTAATACTAGTCAAGTCATAAAGTAGTTACAAGAATGTAAAATTTCTAGCAACTACCTACTATCCATAAGATTAAAGAACTATAAAAATATAAACTTTCATATCCATGTAGTAGAATATTACTCAGCCATCAAAAGGAATGAAGTGCTCACACATGCTACCACAAGCAAGAACCTTGTAAACACTATGCTTAGTAAAAGAATCCAAACACAAAAATATATGACTCCCTTTATATGGAATGGCCAGAACAGAAAAATCTACAGAAACAGAAAGTAGATTAGTGGTTACCAAGAGCTGAGCAATAAAATAAGGCATAAAAAGTTTCTTAATGACAATGCTGGCAATTCAATATGACATAAACTTACCAGTTGAAGTTTTGCCATTGTTTCTTCAAGATCCCGCATTTCAGAGAGCTTTCTTTTAATCTCTTTCTAGGAATAAAAAGCCTATTAGGTACATACTTAAAAGTCTAAGAATACTTATCACTAAGTCACAATGCAATTAAGATCAAGTCATTTTGCAGGTATTTCACATTCCCTTTTACCAGTGAGATCTGAGGCTTTATCCCTAATAATCAATTTCAATGAAGAGGCAAAATTGAGGCTGCTCTTTAATCTTTGGTATCCTGAGTGTTTACAGGGGCCTGCCTGGAACATCTGAAGAAGGCCACTTAAAACATCTTGTAGGACCTTCCTTGGGCCTCAGATTTTCGGGTAATCTTATGGCACTGTCATTTCCTGAATTTCCTATCCTATTTGCTTTCTCTACATCTGCTTTTACCAATCTGGATCCCATCTTTACTGCCACTGAAAGAGCAGAATGCCAGGATCAAAATATTATGACCCAACAGGAATATTTTGTTGAGCCAACTTCTTATTTCTGAGCATTTGCAATGGGACATGGGAAGCTGTGTTTAGTATGCTATGTGTACAAGCATAGAAGATGCAAAAGGTGGTGGAAAAAGAGAGAAATGAGATACAGGAGTGTTGCAATGAAACTAAAACCATGAAAACAGAATTTAAACTGCACTCATTATGTCCTTTTTCAAGATTGTGTTGGTGGTCTGGGGTCCTTTGAGAATCCATATGCATTTTAGAAGCTTTTTCTATTTTTGCAAAAAAACGCCACTGGGATTTTGATAGGTATTGCACTAAATGAGTGGTATGGACACTTCAAGAATATTGAGTCTTCCAATCCATCGACACGGAATGCCTTCCCATTTGTTTGTGTATTCTTTAACCTCTTTAGCAACACTGTATAGTTTTTCAGGTGTACAAGTTTTTCATCTCAATGGCTAAGTTTATTTCCAAGTATTTTATTCTTTTTGATGCTATTGCAAATGGGATTACTTTCTTAATTTCCTTTTTGGATAGTTTATTCTTAGTATATAGAAAAACATCGGATCTTTGTGTGTTGATTTTGTATCCTGCATTTTTGCTGAATTGGTTTCTTCTGGTTTTTGTGGAATGTCGGAGGCTTTCTACATACAAAATTATGTCATCTGTAAACAGAGATAATTTTATTCTTTCTTCGCAATTTAATTTGTATGCCTTTTCTTGCCTAACTGCTCTGGCTAGGACTTCCAGTACTAGGCTGAATAATAGTGACAAGAATGCGAATCCTTTCTTGTTCTTCATCTTAGAGGAAAAGCTTCTAGTTTCTCACCACTGAGTATGATTGTTTGCTATGGGCCTTTCATATACGATTTTTTAAATATTGGGGTAATTTCCTTCTAGTCGACTAATTAGTAGAAATGGCACTGTATAAAACCAATTTGGTGATGTAAAGCAGTGGTCTTCAAACTTGTTTATACTTACTCCTGGGATAAAATGAACATTTTCCAAATATTATATAAAACTATGGTACGCACATAGTTTTAAGGAATCAGCATCTGAATCCTTAATTTGCATATTCAGTGCTTCTTAAAAATGATCTACTTAAGAACTTGTCTGTGGCCCAAGTATCACGTGAGTTCTGCATTCCTACCCTCTCTTTTATAGCTGCCTTTCTCTCAATGTTCAAAGAAGGGCATGTATCTCATTCATGCCTCAAAAAGCGCACTGTCTCAAGATAAAAAAAACTTTTGGAGTACCAGATTAAAAGATAATCTGAATGTTGGGGCTGGCCAACAGCTTTAAATAAGACACTATTTTCTCCCACTATATTTCATTAAGAGATAGATGTATTCCTAATAAAATTTTACCTTTTTATTTCATAAATATCAACATTTGTGGTATACTTGTCACTTTAACACTCTGATAACTAATAATTGTAATGATAATACTATTCAGATAAAAATGTTAATACCTTGAATCTTACAGTTATGGGAATTTTTAAAAATTAAAAATTTCTTTTTTTCCCCATTAGATAGGCTGACAGAATATTTTTTAAATTAAAAAAATTCATTATTTTAAAATTTGTTCTTTTTATTGCACAGATATATGATAGTGTGATCATGAAAAGATTTTCAGGCATAAAACTAGTTGAAACAGGATAAAACTTTGTGGAAATTTTAAGGAGAAAGGATCATTTAGACTTAACTGGCTATAATTAAAAGAACAATTAGTTATATTTTAAGATATTATATTTAAAATAGAATGGAAATATCACCCTTTGCATTTAAACTTAAAAGATGAAAAATGCTATTATAATTACCAACTTAAAAACGTTCAAGGTCATATATAGTCTTAAAAATACTTCTAAAGAATTCTTGGTGGCCAGGCATGGTGGCTTATGCCTGTAATCTGAGCACTTAGGGAGGCTGAGGCGGGAGGACTGCTTAACCCAGGAGTTTGAGATCAACCTGGACAACATAGTGAGATCCCATCTCTGCAAAAAAATTAAAAAATTAGCTGGGCCTTGTGGCATGCACCTTTAGTCCCAGCTACTCAGGAAGCTAATAGGGGAAGATTGCTTAAGCCTGAGGAGGTTGAGGCTACAGTGAGCTATGACTGTGCCACCACACTCCAGCCTAGGCAACAGAGCAAGACCATGTCTCAAAAAAAGACAGGCTGGGCGCGGTGGCTCATGCCTGTAATCCCAGCATTTTGGGAGGCTGAGGTGAGTGGATCACCTGAGGTCAGGAGTTCGAGATCAGGCTGGTCCACATGGTAGATTTTAGTCTCTACTAAAAATACAAAAATCAGCTGGGCATGGTTACAGGCACCTGTAATTCCAGCCACTCGGAGGCTGAGGCAGGAGAATTGCTTGAACCCAGGAAACAGAGGTTGCAGTGAGCCCAGATCGCACCACTGCACTCCACTCCAGCCTGAGTGACAGAGACTCTGTCTCAAAAAAAAAAAAAAAAAAAAAAAAAAAAAGATTCTTGAGCAAAAAAGACATGGAGGGGAAACTTTAGAAGCTCTCTCACAATGTAGAGATAAAAGAACAGAGATTAGCTCTCTTCTTGCCGCCCAAGATGCCGAAAGGAAAGAAGGCCAAGGGGAAGAAGGCGGCTCCAGCCCCTGCTGTCGTAAAGAAGCCGGAGACCAAGAAAGTGGCCAATCCTGTGTTTGAGAAAAGGCCAAAGAATTTTGGCACTGGACAGGATATTCAACCGAAAAGAGACCTAACCCACTTTGTGAAATGACCCCGCTGTATCAGATTGCAGTGGCAGAGAGCCATCCTTTATAAGCGGCTGAAAGTGCCTCCTGCCATTAACCAGTTCACTCAGGTCCTGGATCGCCAAACAGTTATTGAGCTGCTAAAGCTGGCCCAGAAGTATAGGCCAGACACACAGCAAGAGAAGCAGCGGAGGCTGTTGGCCCGGGCAGAGAAGAAAGCTGCTGGCAAAGGGGACGTCCCCACTAAGAGACCACCTGTCCTTTGAGCAGGAGTTAACACCGTCACTGCCTTGGTGGAGAACAAGAAAGCTCAGCTGGTGGTGACTGCACACGACACAGATCCCATTGAGCTGGCTGTCTTCTTGCCTGCCTTGTGTCGGAAAATGGGAGTCCCTTACTGTATTATCAAGGGGAAGGCAAGACTGGGACGTCTAGTCCACAGGAAGACCTGCACCACCATCGCCTTCACCCAGGCTAACTCGGAAGACAAAGGCGCTTTGGCTAAGCTGGTGGAAGCTATCAGGAGAAAGTACAGTGACAGATATGAGGAGATCCACCGTCACTGGGGAGCAAGGTCCTGGGTCCCAAGTCTGTGGCTCGCATCGCCAAGCCTCAAAAAAGCAAAGGCTAAACAACTTGCCACTGTAGAGTTTTCTGTAAATAAAAATAATTAAAACGATACAAATTTTCCTTCAAAAAATAAAATAAAATAAAAAAGAACAGAGATTAAAATCTTGAAGGAAAACACACTAGAGTTTGGAGATCCATCCTAAGAATAGGTATGCTTCAGAGAGACACCCAAACAACTAGAAAAAATACAATCATTTAGAGGGTGTAAACAACACTTCAGAAAACCCTAAATTGCCAAAGCAAAAAAACAAAGAGACACACAAAATAAACCAAAAACCTGAATGCAGATATCAAAAGGGCTCAAGCTCACTGTGTGCTAGAATTACTAAACACTCTCACAACCTACACATATCATTCATTACCTTTGCTTCCCCAAGCTCTTTATCAGCAGTCTCAAGCACTTCTTCTTTATGTCTTTCCAACTGCTGCGCTAACTGATCTATTTCAGTTAATTCTTGGCAGAGCTTTTCATTTTTGTTACTTAAATTAACAACTTCAGATGTCACTGTTTCCTTGGTTTCCATGAGCTCTTGTATATGCTTCTCCAGGTCTTTATTAGCTTGCTGAAGAAAGTCAACCTAAATTGGGGTTGTAATTTAAGAGGTGTATAAATTGGAAAATTATCTTAAACGCTGACTTCAAACAATATTTTTAAAAACTGTATTTTAAGAGATATTGAAGATTAAAATTACAGGTATTTTACATTTGCAAACTTACATTATTTGCAAAACTGACCATGTGAAATTTGATGAAAGTATATATCCATCGGCTTTAATTTTCAAGCATAGAAAGGATAAGAAATTTGTGTGAACTTTTTCCCAATACAGAGTTCTATATGACAAGAATATCATGATATAGAATTCTGTCTGTGGCCCAAGCAGCTCCGTCACAGCAAAATTTCTAAAGTTCATGGGTCATGCTGTATGGAACTCTCCTGCTCTTTCAGCCTTAGGTCAAATGCCTGGCAAAGGAATCTTCTATGTAAGTAGATAAAAGCTAGGTATTTAATTTTTATATACATATTTAATTTTTTAATGTTATAAAAGAAATACATACTTATAACAGTTTTGAAAAACAAAAAAGAAAACCAGAAAGAATATCCCACCATACAAAGATAAGCTTTGTTAGTATACTTTGGTATATTCTGTTTGCTTTCTCTTTCCAAGTCCATATATACATTTTCTTAAAACCAAATTGACAATCATGTCCCCAGAGTTTATTCTCTTCCTTTAAATTGTTAATGTTATGGTATATCTTAATTACTGCCTCATTAAATAGTCTTTAAAAAGATGATTTTTCAACAACTCCACCTTATTTCTGAATACCATTGTTCTATCAAATTTTTCCTATTATAAATAATAACTCAGTGAACAACTCCCACCACTTTTACAAACCAGTAGACCATAATAAACACATAGTGTTTACTATAAACACAATTATATACATTCAGTGAAATAATTATAAAAGCCATTACCTGAATATTTAACTGAGCAATAAGCTTTTCATTGGTCTTATTTCTAGACTCCAGAGAGAGGACATCAGGAGAGCGACCACCATCCAAGGCAACTGACAATCGTTCTATCTCTCGCTCTCTTAGCTCGATCTGAAGATATAAAGTCATGCTGTCATTTCAAATTTAAACAAATGATTAACACTGAACAAACATTTATTTGGATATATTTTCTTATGTTCCGATGTATACAAGAGATTAACATTCATATTTACGTCCACACATTATATGCATATATGCAGAACAAAAATAAATTACACAGAAAATGTCAACAGAAGTATTGTCAATATATCATATTATTTTTACTACATAGATTCTTCCTAATTAAGTTTTTGTATTTTTTTCCCTTAAGATTTAACAATGTTTATATAAAAAGAAATTTCCTAGCGGATTACATACATGCTCAAGTACTGGAACTGAACCTGAACTACTTCAGTTTCTGATAGAATAAATGAATGAGTATAACATACTAAGAAAAGTAGGTTGCTACCGAACCTTGATATTAAAAAAAATAGGTAACTGGGATGGATTTAATTATCTGTTATTTATGTAAGAATTTGGAAAAGCTCACACTTTTAAGCTTTGCTTTTTTCTTTTTTTTTTTTTTTTAGGTGAGGAGTTTTTTTTTTTTTTTTTTTTTTTCCTTTTTTTTTTTTTTTATTGCATTTTAGGTTTTGGGGTACATGTGATGAACATGCAAGATTGTTGCATAGGTACACACATGGCAGTGTGCTTTGCTGCCTTCCATCCCCTCACCTGTATCTGTCATTTCTCCCCATGCTATCTCTTCCCACCTCCCCACCCCCCGCCCCTCCCCCATTCCCCCCAACAGACCCCCGTGTGTAGTGCTCCCCTCCCTGTGTCCATGTGTTCTCATTGTTCAACACCCGCCTATGAGCGAGAATATACGGTGTTTGATTTTCTGCTCTTGTGTCAGTTTGCTGAGAATGATGGTTTCCAGGTTCATCCATGTCCCTATAAAGGACGTGAACTCATCGTTTTTGATGGCTGCATAATATTCCATGGTGTATATGTACCACATTTTCCCTATCCAGTCTATCATCGTTGGGCATTTGGGTTGGTTCCAGGTCTTTGCTATTGTAATGCTTTTTTCTTTTTTTGAGATGGAATCTCGCTCTGTCACCCATCTGGAGTACAGTAGCGTGATCTCGGCTCACCGCAACCTCTGCCTCCTAGGTTCAAGCCATTCTCCTGCCTCAGCCTCCTGAGTAGCTGGAACTATAAGCACATGCCACCATGCCTGGCTAATTTTTTTGTATTTTTAGTAGAGATGGGGTTTCACCATGTTGGCCAGGCTGGTCTCAAACTCCTGACCTCAGGTGATCCACCTGCCTCAGCCTCCCAAGGTGCTAAGATTATAGGCGTGAACCACCACTCCCCGCCCAAGCTTTGGTTTTCCTAAAATAAATAAATAAAAACCAAACATTCCAAACACACCAAAAAGTAACAACAACATGGTATGTCTGAGATAGCATAAACAGCTCAGTATGACTGGATGTAATGTACATCAGACCTAGTAGTTGGAGATGTCCGAAGAATCAGGCAGAAACTAATTATGATTACCCTGGACTAAAAGATGAAACTGACAGGAATAAAACCAGAGTCAGGGAGACCTAATGCAGGAATACATAAGAGACAATTAATGATTAAAATAAAACAGTGGTAGAAGGTAGATCAGAAGAATTAAGTTTAAGAAGCATTTAGCCAGGAAAAATGACACAACTTGGTGAGTGGTATTTGAAGGCAAGAGAAAGAGATCTAGAAAGACTACAGAATGTGCACTTGGGCAAATGTTGATGCTACCAACCAAAGGAGAGAATCCAGGAATTGAAACCAGAAGAGAACAAGTTCAGTATAAGGCATATGAGTACAGAAAGACTATATCCAAGGGGAAATGCCCAGTATGAAGTTGGGTACATGGGTCTGGAGTTCGGCAGAGAAGTCTGAGACAGAGAGAGATGGCAGACTCATCAATATACAGGCGTAATATTTTAAACCAAGACAGCAGATGAGGACACTTGAGGAGAGACACAGAAGAGGAGAAGGGGTCAAAAACAGAATCAAGGAAAAAAGTATTATTTCAGGGAGTGGACATGTGAAAAAAAGCCAAAAAAATATGTTATAAGAGGCTAAAAAAAAAAAACTGGAAAAAAATGAAGTCATGGAAGAGTTTCAAAAAGGCATTATCAATAATATCTAATACCATAGAGTAGGTCAAGAAAATAAAGGCTGTAAGAATCCTTTTGGATCTAGCAGTTAATGTTATTGATGTCATTAACTAGACCAATTCACATAGTGGGTAAGGAAGACAGACTACAATAGGTTAAGGAGCGAGCAAGAGGTGGAGAAACAGAGACAAAAATGGAGATAATCAAGTACGACCGTCTTTGGAGACGTCTGCATGGAGAGGGAGAAGGAATCCTCAAGAGGGAGAGGTAGTTAAAAGAGTTTTTTTTAAAGGGATGTTAGTTATGACAAGAGTAGTACCTCTTCATAGGATTGTTATGAAGATTAAACGAATTAATCCTTGATAAGTGGTTCTATACCTACTTGGTAAAGAAAAAAAGAACAATTGATTAAAGTAAGGTCCTAAGGAGAAAACAGGAAATGGGGTCAAGAGCACAGGCAACTCAGCCTTAAGTAAAAAAGAACAATACCCTGCCCACTAAGTCTTAAAACAGCCTGAGTACAAATACAGCTCATTTTAAAGGTACAGATAGAAAGCTGAGACAAGGTGACATTCTCAGAAGATGAGTATTATAAGTTGGGAAGACAGCTTAAAAACAGCAAAACCTGGAATATGTGCTGAGAAAAACAGAATAAACTCAAGCAAAAAAAGACAAATAACTGATAGGCAACAGAGTAAGCTCAACTAAGATTGAGAACCACAATAAATTGGTGGCTTTAATCAGAATGGTCACGCTGTTTTCTCCAAACACTTCAGCCACCTCACAGAGATGGTACAAACTTTCTGTTCATAAAGTACCCAGAATAAGTGAAAGTGTAACTATAAAATGCAAAATGCCAATACTACCAAACTCATGTGCATATTGGATATTTTCAACATCTCTTCATGAAGTAAGTTTTTTGGTTGACATTATGATTTCCTTTCTTTTATTTTTTTTTGAGACAGGGTCTGTCATCAGGCTGGAGGGTGGTGTTGCAATCTGGGGTCATTGTAACATCCGCCTCCTAGGTTCAAGTGATTCTCCTGCCTTAGACTCCTGAGTAGCTGGGATTACAAGCACACGCCACAACCCCAGCTAATTTCTGTCAGTAGAGATGGGGTTTCACCATGTTGCCCAGGCTGGTCTCAAACTCCTGACCTCAAGTGATCCACCTGCCTCGAACTCCCAAAGTACTGGGATTACAGACATGAACCACCATGAACCACCACTTTTGGCCAATTTCCTTTAACTCCATTTTTATCCAAATAATCTTCAAAACACTTGACAGACTTAGTTATACCAACATCTAAGTTACATCTATATTTATGTGTGCAGATCACTCATAAATAAAAATGCAGTCATATGCAAAAAATGAAAAACGTGTTATGCAATTAACCTTCAGGAAACATATTAAGAAAACAAGCCTGTAATTACTCAAATGAAAATGTAGCCAAGACACCAACAGAAATTATGAAAAGACAAAACTTGCTATGGTTATACTATAACTCTGCATCTATGAATTATCCTGCTTCTTCAGAAAACTGTTGCAAGAGGACTAGTGCTTGTAGAAAACACACACAAAAATGGCAACACAAGAGTAACTTTCTAAGAGACTAGTGTTCAATATGACAAAATCTATAATAAGAGTAAAACAATCACAAAATAAAATTATAAAACATACCACACTTCAATAAAATATCTCCTGAGATGAAAAATGTAATATGGTTATAAAATTATATTTGGGGAGATAAATGATTCAATTAAAAGAAAAACCAAACAAAAAACTACTATTCACCTCAATGAATAGTAAAGGGAATGGACCAAGTAAGTGCTCTAAAACCACCTAAGCCATTCCAGCTATGAACTCTATTAACAAATCTGATGAAAAAGATACAAGCTGTGTAAAAACTCAGTTTTGGTAATATCAAATATAACCCAATTCTATTTACAATCACAGCATACCTATCTCAATCCCTGCTATGCAAGTAAATAAAAATCCTACCTGCTTGCTATAATCTCTCACCCCACTTTCCATCACCGCTAACTTTTCTTGTAGCTGTTGCACTTCCTGTTGAAGTTCTTGAATCCTGAAAAGCACTTTAAATTAATGCCAATATACTTTTGTGAAGAAATACAAAATAACAAGAAATGAAACTAGATGTGTTCCTTCATAAATCCTATACTTTCAGCTTCTCAAAGATGTAGAGCATATTGTGCCAAAGGGTTCCCAAATCAACATATATTACATCATCATGGAGAGTTGGTTTGTAAGAATAGATTAAAAACTGAGTGGTAAACAATTTGAAACTCAGATACATCATGCAAGACACACCTCACTATTGCATTTGATCCCCAGGAAAATGCTTTGAGGTACTGCTGCCAATTCTTAAGTTAAGAAAACTGGGAGTTTACTCTGAAATTTACAGGCTTAGTAAGTGAAATAAGAAACTACAATGTGTTTTCTGACCCTAAGTAACCCTCTATTGTCTAATACTACTTTGAAACCCTGGAGAGAAAGATCATGTGTTACTACAGCAAAAAACCTATGCCTTCTGGAACTAATTCTAACAGAATCAAGATTTTGTCCAAATTAGTTGTACAGGTACAATATGACACAATCCACTTTCATATTGGAAGGACAAAGTCTGAAGCCAGGTCTGGTTTTGTTTGTTTGTTTGTTTTTTGAGACAGAGTCTCCTTCAGCACCTAGGCTAGAATCCAGTGGCCCAATCACAGCTCTCTACAGCTCCATCAATCCTCCCACCTCAGCCTCCCGAGTACCTGGGACCATAGGCACATGCCACCACACTTGGCTAATTTTTACATGTTTTGTAGAGACAGTTTTTCCAAGTTACCAAAGCTGGTCTTGAACTCCTGGGCTTAAGCAATCCTCCCACCTCAGCCTCCTAAAGTGCTGGGATTTCAGGCGTAACCACAGCACTTCCAGCCCCACGTCTGGTTTTAAAAGATTTTCCATGGGGTGGAGTAAATGAGGCTATATACAGCCTGTACCTGCTGTTACTGGAACCAACATTTTATATTAATCTAGGTTTAAGAGACGAGTATGTATGCAACTGCACTCATGTAAATGCATGAATGACTCTGAATACAAACAAAATGTGAATATATAAATTAAACAGGACAACTGAAAGAGACTGTCACTTATGCACCCCAAATAATTCCCTAAATAATAACAACACATTGTCTGAGAAGTATCAGATTGTAAGAACAAAACACTTCCCTGTTAAGGTCAAATAACTATATAAAAATACTGGCTAGGCATGGTGGCTCATGCCTGTAATCCCAGCACTTTGGGTGGTCAAGGCAGGTGGATCACTTGAGGTCAAGTGATCCTAGTTAACACGGTAAAACCTCATCTCTACTAAAAATACAAAAAATTAGCCAGACGTGGTGGCAGGTGCCTGTAGTCCGCTTGAACCCACAAGGCAGAAGTTGCAGTGAGCCAAGATCGCGCCACTGTACTCCAGCCTGGGCAACAGAGTGAGATTCTGTTTCAGAAAAAAAAAAAAATTGTGTGACAACTGAGTGCAGAGATCTTCATCAGTAGCTTAACAGGGTCTCATTCTGTCTCCCAGGCTGGAGTGCGGTGGTTCAATCTCGGTTCACTGCAACCTCTGCCTCCTAGGCTCAAATGATCTGCCTCCTAAGTAGCTGGGTTGGCTAATTTTAAAATTTTCTGTAGAGACATGGTCTCACTATAGTGCCCAGGCTGGTCTCAAACTCATAGGTTAAGCAATCCTCCTGCCTTGGCTTCCCAAAGTGCTGGGATGACAGGCGTGAGCCACTGCACCTGGTCCTGATGCACTCTTTTAGATTGATCTACTGAGATTAATAACCACCCCCAACATTCTCTGCATAACTAAAAAAATAAAAAGCTACCTGCATAAACTATTGCCATTAGTGTATTCCATAGTTTCAAATGCTTCTCCAACTATTACCATGGAGGCTAGTGCTCATCCATTTCTTTGAGCCTCTTATAATTATCTGAATTGCATTTTGTGAACGTCTAGTCTCATCTCTAGTACTGGGCTACAAGCTTCTCAAAAGCAAAAACACCCATCTTCTTCAAACCTTTATATCATCAGAACACTTACACAGTGCCTTGCCTAGGAGGCTTAATAAAGTTTCAATTAAATGGAATTGATATCTGATGCAAATGTAAGGAAATATAAACACAGAGCTAGAGAAACCATTAAAAAAAGTGAATTTCAAATCCAGTTACAAATCTCTTCATATTTAACTGGCATTTGACATAAATCTGAAGTAATAAAGATTCCTGTAAAAGATGCCTCTTACTTGGAGATGACACAAAATGTCAAAGCAGCTCTACTGAAACAAGTCCTTAAGGGCATTAAATTATTTTTAAGCCAGTATGAACAGAAAACTTAGATATATGATCTATTTGATCAAAGTTTCAAAACAAGTAAAAACATTTTATATCAATCTGAAAGTATTTACTGAATGCCTGTGCAAAGTTCTGTGCTAGACACTGGAGAGACAATAGTTAGCAAGACAAAAAGTGTTCCCATCAAGAAACGTACAGCTAATTAATTGAGTGCTCAATTAACTCAAGCCAACAAAGAATTATTTAATGCACCTGTTATCAGCCACTTGCAGGAGGTCTGCAATGTAAGGGTCATCTGGTTGCGGAACTGGATACGAACTGACTTCAGAGGGAGGAACTGGTTCATCAATTTGCATACGCTGGCGCCTGAAAGCAATACTTCTTTTTTTGCCACCTAAAAAGAATGAGTGTCTTAAAAAATTAAGAAGAAACAAAACCATGTCTTAGAATTAAATATTCCAGGTTAGCCTTTTGGTTATAAAGTGTGTCTGCAGTTCATATTACATATTGATAAAATATTTTCTCCATCAACATGCAAATAACCACTCCGATCTTTAACTAAACAATGCATTCCTAAAAACCTCAACAAGACCTGGTTATCAAACAAGTTTTATATGCCTGCATGCTTGGCATATATGCCCAGGCTTATTATGTTTGTCCACTAGATGGGGATCAGACTTTGGCAAGTTTAAAAGCTGAATGTGCCTGCGGTGTTCACTATTATGAGCTTAAGAAATTATCACTAGCAGAGAACTGGCAGTGAGTACTAAAATATACGTGCTTGTTAAGCAATATCAACATAGCAGATAACTGAAATTGTAAGTAGCAAAGTTAGAATATAATGAATGGAATGTCATTTGTAATATATAGCTGTGCTATAATCTGAATTAGGAGGGAATGTTTTCTTAATCATTACAAATAGTAGGACTAAATTTTCTTGTAGCTAGATTTATCTTATCTTGGCCAAAATACATGGATAATTTATCTTTTTAAGGATTTTGCCAAGATTAGAAATGTATTTGAAAAAGTAGCAGATCCTTGTGAAGAACAAACATAATACACAATTTTTTCTCATTAAAATTCTAACAAATTTTGTATACTCCTACCTCAGTTTTTGTTTGTTTTTGAGATGGAATCTTGCTCTGTCGCCCAGGCTGGAGTGCAGTGGCGTGATCTCAGCTCACTACAACCTCTGCCTCCCAGGTTGAAGCAATTCTCCTGCCTCAGCATCCCAAGCAGTTGGGTCTACAGGTGTTCGCCACTAAGCCCAACTAATTTTTGTATTTTTAGTAGAGATAGGGTTTCACTATGTCGGCCAAGCTGGTCTTGAAACCCTGACCTCGAGATCCACCAGCCTCGGCCTTCCGAAGTGCTGGGATTACAGGTGTGAGCCACCATGCCCAGCCCCTCCTACCTCTAGTTTTAAGGATCAGAAAACTGGGACAAAAGTATTTAATTAACCTGTTTGACCAAACAAAGCTAACCACTTGCTTCTTTTCTTACCTCCTGGTTTTCCTCCTTGGTGGCTCCTCAGTGTCTTTCAAAAGCCATCTTCTTCCACCACTCCCTTAAATACCAATTCCCCTAGGGTCTGACTTTGGGTCTCCTCTTTTCCCAGTCTACATAATTTCACTAGGTTAATTCTTAGTACACCCATAGTTTCAATTACCATGAGACTCCAATGACTCTCAAATTTGCATCTCCACCTAGGCCCACACTTTTGAGAACAGATCTACATATCCCACACTGTTTACCTAAAATTTAGACAGGAATGTCTCGTGGGTATAGCATACTCCACACATCCAAAAGTGGACTCCTATTCTGCTTCCCAAATTCTCTAACTTAGGAAATAGTATCATCCTCCACCTACTCATTCACTTGAAAGAGAAGTCTGAGAATTCCTGTACTTCCCAAATCTACATTTAGTAACCAGATTGATTACACATCTTGAATCTCTCTGGAGTCTATCCCATTTTTTCCTCAGGAAACCTGATTATCCTTTTTTTTTTTGGCTTTAATCTTCTAGTAACTTCCAAGGTTGACTCCCACTTTTCTTCATCTCTTCTGCTTTTGGCTCACAATCCCGGTGCCCAGCTCATTTCCTACACTATCTCATGCTCCACTGAGTCTTCCCCCACCTGGCTTCACAGTTCTAATTTGTCCACTCTCAGAAATCTCCTCTTCACTCAGCTTCGGGCACAAAATAACATGACAACACTTTGGCCTTTGTCATCACTCAGAACTCTGCTGGCTTCTAGTTCTTCAACTTCAAAATTCCATTCTGACTGCAATCTTCATAGCAGCCAAATTACTTTTGGTCCTCACCATGCTCCTTAATCTCTCCATCTTGACCTAGTCTCCTACTCCAGCAGCCTCCTGTGACTCACTTACTTCCACAATTTTGATCCCATGGTTCAGATTCTTAATGATTTTGTCACTAATATTGGAGATTCTTCCACCAACCCATACTTGCTGAACAATCACCAACTCTGGATATGGCCCATCATTTCTTTTTCTTTTTTTTCAGACAGTCTCACTCTGTCATCCAGGCTGGAGTGCAGTGGTGCAATCTCAGCTCACTGTAAACTCCGCCTCCTAGGCTCAAGCAATCCTCCCACCTCAGCCTCCCAAGTAGCTGGAACTATAGAGGCTTGTGCCACCATGCCCAGCTAATTATTGTATTTTTGGTAGAGATGGAGTTTCACCATGTTCCCACACTGGTGTCGAACTCTTAGGTTCAAATGATCTGCCTACTTCAGCCTCTCAAAGTGCTAGGATTACAGGTGTGAGCCACCGCACTTGGCCCCATCATTTCTTTTTCTTGTTCTGTAACTACTGAGCATAATGCTAAAAATAATAAACTAAGAAGGTACATAATTTCCAAATTCTTTAATAAGTATGGATTACTTTTACAACTAAAATAATAATGGTAATAGTAAAAGAAAAAAGAATTTAAAATATTGATTAGAGAAAGCTCTGGGCATTAGAGTACTTGTATCTAAGTAGCTAATACTACATACATTTCTAAGCACATGTATAAACTACTACCTGAATCATTAGAAATAAATCAAGAAGTTTATGGTCTATTCAGTATATATTTTCATGCTTAGACTTTAGTGTTTGAAAACACTAAAGTCTAAGCATGAAAATCTAATCCGAGTCCTATTTTAGTCAATGGTTTTCTTTTTTTTTTTTTTGAGACAGAGTTTCGCTCTTGTTACCCAGGCTGGAGTGCAATGGCGCGATCTCGGCTCACCGCAACCTCCACCTCCTGGGTTCAGGCAATTCTCCTGCCTCAGCCTCCTGGGATTACAGGCACGCGCCACCATGCCCGGCTAATTTTTTGTGTTTTTAGTAGAGACGGGGTTTCACCATGTTGACCAGGATGGTCTCGATCTCTTGACCTCGTGATCCACCCGCCTCGGCCTCCCAAAGTGCTGGGATTACAGGCTTGAGCCACCGCGCCCGGCCTAGTCAATGGTTTTAATATCTTTAAAAGATCAAATGTGTACAACGTGTCTTGAGAAGGAATCAATTTACCTGGAGTTTGTACTACAGCATGCAAATTCTTTTCTTGAAGTTGTTGAATTCTTTCATTCTTAGCTTTGCTCTCTTTCTCCAATAGTTTGAGTTTATGAACATACTGGTTATTTAGAAATTTCAGATCAGATGTTTCACGTGCACACTTCTTCAATGAAGTTTTCAATTCTTATAAGGAAAAAGATTCAAAGACCATTTTAAAGGTCAAGAAATCCATGAAGTTTTTCCATTTCACAAAATACAAAAAGTCGTATCTACTTAAAAGTCTCCACCTGCTTCTTATGAATGCTTTAATTGAAGCTTATTACTTCTTCTACTATTATTAACAAAACTGCAATTAACTCACTAAGCACAAAAAGAAATCTTCATTTTTCATCTACTGTTGAGCCTAATGTACATCACAGCTTTTGCTCCAGTAAATTGGGTCTGATGCTAAAGGATTTTGAATTCACACCATGTATTAGATAAAATTTTCTACTGAATATAAGAATAATTCATACTAAGATAACCATATAATTACCTTTTCCCTACTACCTTTGAAATCATCCTATTCTACTTGACAGCTCAAAGACTGACTATAAAACAGCATGATACGGCCAGGCATGGTGGCTCACATCTGTAATCCAAGCACTTTGGAGGCCAAGGCGGGTGGAGCACCTGAGGTCGGGAGTTCAAGACCAGCCTGACCAACATGGTGAAACCCCGTCTTTTAAAAAAAAAAAAAAAAAAAGCATGATACATGGTTTTCACCTCATTTACTACTTTTATTTTCAGTAAGGGAAAAACAAAAGTTGTTTCAAGAACATTTCTTCAATTCCAATTTAATATTCCCTATGGCAATTTTAATTCTAAAAATTTAATCCACATATAGTGAAGACTATCATAGCTATAGAATGCACATTTATTTTCCTTCTCAGGAACTCTTCAGCATACCCTAAAGTATTTCAGGAGATATTAACAGAAGGACTATCATATTTTCTTTTTTTTGTTTTTGAGACAGAGTCTCGTTCTGTTGCCAGGCTGGAGTGCAGTGGTGCAGTCTTGGCTCACCACAACCTCTACCTCCTGGGATCAAGCAATTCTCCTGCCTCAGCCTCCCAAGTAGGTGGGATTACAGGCACGCACCACCATGCCCAGTTAATTCATATTTTCTTTCCTTTTTTTGAGACAAGTTTTCATTATGTTGCCCAGGCCGGTCTCAAACTCCCGGGCACAAGCAATCCTCCCACCTCAGACTCCCGATTAGCTGGGATTACAGGCACACAGCATCCAGCTGCAGGACTATCATATTTTCTAACTGATTGCTTTAAAATTAGACATTAGCCTTTCCTTCATACAAAACAAAAAGGACAAAGACATTGCATTTTAAAAATTACCAAATTTTCACTTACCTTTAATGTGTTGGTCTGAGTGTTCTCTCAGTTTCATTAACTCTAGGTACAATTCATTATTTTCTCTACTCAATCTTGCATTTTCAAGTTTATAGGGTTCCAAAACAAAATCAAAATTGGCACTTTCTTTTTCAGCTTTCACAGCAGATAATTTTGATTGCCGAAGGCTCTCTGTTGTATGAACTAAGTCACTAAAAGAACAGAAAATTTAATACCAGGAAACATTTCATTAACTTTCTAACAACTAAAACGTATTTCTAAAGAGTCATGTGCCACATAACATCATTTTGGTCAACAACAGACCACATACAGGAAGGACAGTAGTCCTGTAAAATTTATAACAGGGGGAGCTGAAAAATTTCTATTGCCTGGTGAGATCCTGGCCATTGTAACACTGTAGCACAACACATATCTTTTCTATGATTACCTATGTTCAGATGCACAAATAGGTACTATTGTGTTACAACTGCCTGTAATATTCAGTGTAGTAACATGCTATGCAGCTTTGTAGCCTAGGAGCCGATAGGATAGATACCATATAGCCTAGGTTTGTGGTAGGCTAAACTATCTAGATTTATGTTAAGCACACCTTATGATGTTGGTACAATGACAAAATCACCTAACGAATGACACGTTTCTCACAACCTATCCCCGTCATGAATCTATGCATGACTGTATTTGAAGACCAGTGAAGCAGACACAGAACTTAAGGGGAAAAAAAGAGCTTAAGGGAAAATTGTCTCTCAACTGTATCAGATACCCAAAAAAACTATAATTCTATTCACAGAGAAAACCCTCAGAAACGTTTACTTTGAATAGTACAGCATGAGTGGTGACCTTTAGAGTTCTGCAATGTGGAAGACTGAAGACAGTGAAAAAACTGATGAGCTTCAGATGGTTTAAAGCCTTTTAGAAAATCTACGCTTTGCTTTACTGAAGCATGAAGTTCAATCAGAAATAAGGTAAGTGGATTAGGGATCTTAAAACTGTATTTTTGTCTTTACCTGAAAAGTTTTTCTACCAAAGGTAAACACTCCACTGTCAGAGTCTGGCGGTATCCCAGCTGATCCAGTCTTTTTCTAATATTAACATACTTTCTTTCTACAGCTGTAGTCATCTTGTCTTTCAAAATAAGTGTATTCGCTTCCAAAAATTAAAGTCCTGAGAGAAAAGAATAAAACATCATTATATTATAGCTATAATTGTTGTTTCACAATAAAAAGAAAAATATCTTTTAATATGAAGCAATTATTTTTTGTTTTTCTTCAGGTAGGCAGCCTTCTGGAAAATTCAGATTTAAAATCGATGCTCATGATATTCCTGTTGCTGGATTAAAATAAATATTTCCTCATACAACTAAATTTTAAAGTTAAAACAATAGAGCTGGGCGCGGTGGCTCATGCCTGTAATCCCAGCACTTTGGGAGGCCGAGGCGGGTGAGTCACAAGGTCAAGAAATCGAGACCATCCTGGTCAACATGGTGAAACCCCGTCTCTACTAAAAATACAAAAAATTAGATGGGCATGGTGGCACGTGCCTGTAATCCCAGCTACTCAGGAGGCTGAGGCAGGAGAATTGCCTGAACCCAGGAGGCGGAGGTTGCGGTGAGCCGAGATCGCGCCATTGCACTCCAGCCTGGGTAACAAGAGTGAAACTCTGCCTCAAAAAAAAAAAAGATAAATTTGATAAATTAGACTTCATCAAAATTTAAAATGTCTGCCCATCAAAATACTCAATTAAGAATATAAGGCAAACCAAAGAGTGGGAAAAAATATTCACAACATCTGACAAAGAATTTGTATAGAAAATATAAAAGGAACTCTTATAGCTCAATAATAAGACAAACATCCCATTAATAACATTAATTTGGGCTAAAACTAAAATTTTGTGAGCTAAAGACTTGAACAGACATCTCGAATAGGTGTCTGAATGGGAATAATCATATGAAAAGGTGCTCAACAGTAGTCATCACAGAAATATAAATTAAAACAACAAGGTACAATTTCTCCCAAACTAGAATGACTAAAATTATAAGGACCAGCAATAGAAAATGTCACAAAGATCTAGAGCAACTAGAATCTTCACACATTGCTGACGGGAGTATAAAATCACTTTGGAAAAAGTCTGGCAGTTTTTTATAAAGTTAAACATACTTCTAGGCTATAACCCTATGATTCTATTCCCAAGTATTTACAGAAATAAAAAATATCCACAAAAAGACTCTACAAGAATGTTCACAGGAGCTTTACTCATCGTAGACCCAAACTGGAAACAACCTAAACCCCCATCAACAGCAGAAAGGATAAACTATATTTACACAATGCAATACTAAGGGATAAAAGGAACTACTGATACACATCAACATTATGGATGAATCTCAGAAACATTATTTGAGCAAAAGAAACCAGACATACACTGTATGACTCCATATACATGAAGTTGATGAACAAGTAAAATTAAACTATGGGGACAGAAATTAAAACAGTAGTTGCCTGGGGAGGTGAAGCGGTTGCGATTGTCTCTTAGAGTTAACAGAGAACCTTTTAGAGTAATGAAAATATTACATTGATTGGGGTAGTGATTACACAGGTGTATACACTTACAGAATGTTCTTTTTTTTTTGAGACAGAGTCTCACTCTGTCACCCAGGCTGGAGTGCAATGGCACGATCTTGGCTCACTGCAACCTCCACCTCCCAGGTTGAAGCGATTTTCCTGCCTCAGCCTCCTGAGTAGCTGGGATTACAGGCGTGTTACACCGCGCCCAGCTAATTTTTGTATTTTTTTAGTAGAGACAGGGTTTCAACATTTTGGCCAGGCTGGTCTCGAACTCCTGACCTTGTGATCCACCCGCCTCGGCCTCCCAAAGTGCTGGGATTACAGGCATGAGCCACCATGCCCGGCCTCAGAATGTTCTTTTCAAATAGTACACTTAAGACCCATGGGTTTCACCATGTCAATTTCACTTCAATTTTAAAAAAAAGACACAAGTACCTCTGTACAAGTCTGTCTTTGTCTTTTTTAATATTTATGAATATATTCCTATCAATCTGCCCTAAATGGACTTTTCCAAAGATCATTTCTTTTTTATATATATTTTAATTTTTACCTTTTTTAGAGACAGGGTCTTGCTATGTTACCCAGGCTGGTCTCCAACTCTTCAGTTCAAGCTATTCTCCACCTCTGCCTCCCAAAGTGCTGGGTTTACAGGTGTGAGCCAATACACTTAGCACAAAGATAATTTCTTTAGAACTTTGCTCTTTTCTAACCTTTGCTAATGTAGTCATGACAGTCGCAATCCTAAGCCAACTAAAAATTGTTTTATATCGGTTGTTCTCCACAATATATATAAAATACATACATGAGCATACATGTAAAAGTCGAACCCCACAGCTACCCTGGGAGGGAGAAAGATCAACGATATCATCCCTACTTAACTCTTCCAAAACCATGGGGCCTCAAGAAAGTAACTATTCCAAAACCACGGGGCCACAAAGTAGGTGGGTGGTCATCAGAGACCAGGTCTTCTAAGTCCTGGCCCAGCACCCTGGTTTCTGTACCATGCTGCCTCAACTTACCAGAGAACTTTTAAATTAGTCGTTCTCCTTGGTTACTCCTTTCTATAAATCTCTCTCCTTGCTCGTTAACTTTTTCTAAATGGCTTCCTCATGGATTTCCTAGGTTCCTTCCACAAGAGACACCTAAGTGATGCAGGGTTTTCAGGGAAATTCCCGCAGACATCAGAAATACACCTGACAAATCCGTATGTATTACTAGCAGGGTGTCAACTTGCAGCGCGTGCACCACTCAAACATTTCCCCTCTTTGCTACCAAGTCCAGTGACCCAGAGATAATACCGCCTCATATCCTGCTTTGGCGGGGGGAAATGAGAATAAATATGAATCCATAAATCATGACCAGGGCCTCAGGACAGATTAAAATCCTTCCAGACAAAAACATGTTAGGCCGTCCCCACCCATGCACTATTGCCCTCCCTCATAATCCCCATCCAGACATGGCGGCTACACTCTTTTAAGTTTCCGGAGAAGCAACATAAAAGGTTAGGTTTGGTGGGGGGGATCCGCCATACATAGATGTGTAGAAGTATTCATCTACTTAACTCTGCGGGTTGACGTCTGAAAACCAGTACATTTAATTTTTACAAAAACATTGCTGTGTGTACGTACGTGTGCATGGGAGCTAAAAACATAAACAAAAATCCCAAACGACAACAAAGGACAACCCGTTAGCTGTGGTTATCTCGGAGTCCTTCCTTATTGAACTCAAAGGCTGAAAAGCCGTGGTGGTGCTTCGAAGGAGCTGGGCAAAGATGAATTAAAAGCTGTCGTTCTATGCTTTGGGACATTTTTGTTAGAAAGAGAGTGGGTGATTGTTAGGCTGACAGGGCATTTAATGTGTAAATCGATGCACTGGTCAACAGCAAGTCTGTGCCTGCACGGCCTACACTGACGCTCCGTGACGAGCCGGGCCCAAGCTGGCCCCCGGCAAGTCTCCGGCGTGCGACTTCACCGTCCGGCGTGGACGCGAAGCGGGCGTGGAAGCGGGGCCAGGGCGAACGGTCCCCGCGCCCCTCCCCGCCAGGTCGGGCCCGGTCCAGCCCCACTTCCTCCGGCGGCCGCGCGGCCTCCCGGCAGCGCCCGAACCCGCCCCGCGGGGACCTCCCGGAAGGCAAAGGCGCCGCCACTACCGCCGCCGCCGCCGCCACCGGCCCCCTAGCTTCCGCGGCCTGACTCACCGGCAGCTCCAGCCGCCGTTCCCTCCGCCTGCAGCCGCATTGCCCTCGGGCCTCGAGTTCCCCCACTAGCTCCTTCCGCCCAGCCGCGGGCTCCGGCTCTAGAACAGTTTGAAAATGGCGCGGAGGGGCGACCGCGGCCGACACGGAGGAGGCGCCGCGGTTGCCTCGGTAACGGGAGCGGCGGACGGTGCGCGGCGCGCGGCTGGGACGCGCGCGGCGACGGTGGCGGCGCCCTGGTGCCCGGAAATGCAACGCCCAGGCAGAGCGAGGCCACGGCTTCCCCTGGAGGTCGGTGCCCGCGGCCCGCGCCACACCTCAGCTGATCTCTGAGCCATCCTCTTCTTTCTGTCAGCCAGATGTGTGGATCTCCTGCTGCGTGCGGGGCGAAAACGCCGCCCCATTACTGGTCCCTGCAGCGGAGTAGCCTTCACCTGCAAGGTGAACACCTGCTCACGGCGTAATCCCCAAACGCAGATATCAAGTTGTCCCTGCAACTTTGCCTGACAACCACCCAATGCAATTAATTGTCCCACAATCATAACTCCCTGAGGCTCTGTGTAGAACCATAGAATTAATACATCAAAACAGAATCATTTGTTGATCTGTCTCTCCCTGCCGCCCCCAACTGTGAATTCCTTGAGCCAGAGACCATTTTACTAAGCACACATTTGTCAGTGGAAATAAACTGTTTATAGTCCACGCACAGATGGAAAACACCTAGTAAAATCCTAAAATTCCCTTTCTCTCCTTAAAATTTCCCAGATGATCAGGAGTTCCATTCTTTCCTGTTTACTTTTCTCCCAAGTAGGCCTTTTGAGACAGGAGAATAGGGAAGGAAGTCAGAAGATTGACTAGCGGCCCCTTCTCAGGGAAACAGGCATAAGGCTCTGCCTGATAGGGAAGCTGAAGAATTAACCAACCCTTTCTGCAGTAAACAAATCTGGTATAAGCTGGAATGGGACAATCCCTGAAAGAGGAGCATGCACATTCGGGGCAAAATGTGTCCTTAGGATAACCTTTTATTATAATAAGCTCCTTAAAGCTCATACATACGAAATGCATATCATACATACACTTAAAATTATGGCAAACATGCGCAGGCGCACTAAGAGAGAAAAACAACAGGAAAACAGATATGACAATTACAGGAAGTCCCCTCCCTAGGAAGTGAGTATAAAAGAACAAACGCTATGTTAATCCAGGGCTGGTACCACTTGGAGATCAGCTCGTTCCTCTCTCTGGAACATCATTTACTTAATAAATCTTGCAGGGTGGTTATTAGTCTCATCCAATTCTTTGTTCATAACACCAAGAACCTGAAAGTCCAACTTCCAATCCGACAACATTTTGGTGAGCCAGTCAAGAGGTAAGCCCAGAAGAACTGGGAGTTTTTATTTTCTTTCTTTTTCACCTCAGCTCTTTTGCTTTAGTTTAAAGCTGCCTTTTGCTGGCATGGGTTGGGTAGTTAATAGCCAAAAAGGCACAGGACACTTGAAGACTCCGGTGACAAGATAATCTGATTGGGGAATGGGGCAAATAGGTCCCATGGGGTGTAAGACCAATCCCTGCAATGGTGAGGTGCATGTTTGTGTGGCTATAATATTACATTATTTGCTGCTTGTTTTAATATTTTTTCTTTTCTTCTTTTGTGTTGGGTTAACATGTTTAGACCAACTAGAGATATACCCCAAACCCAAAGGGCCAGGGCAATAGATAACTGACTATGGAGAGCCCAAGGGCTAGCATGAGCCTGACGATTAGGGCCCACCACCTGTATAAGGAGAGTACCCTGCTTATTCTGTGAGGGACCAGATCTAGATTGTTTTAGTTTAGTGGATCTGGTGCTAAAACTCCTGGCGGAGACTGTTGGATCATTGCATAAATTGCGCAGTGGATCCATGGGGAAATCACTGTGCCTGGTTTATCTCACATAGTCAGAGGGTATTCTAATTCCTTATTGAGAGGCCAGTCTCTAATAACAAATTTAAACTAGTGTAAGGTTTATTGCCGATGTAAAATGAGGAAACTGAGGCAAGTATGAGAAAATGAGAAACCAATTTATTCAGCTCCCGGGCGAGGTTCTGTGGTCCATAAGGTCATGGGGTTTTATTGGGGTGGAAGGCGATTGATTGGCTATTGGGGAAACAAAGCAAAGGCAATTTTATTGGCTGTCAGGAAGTAGGAAGTGTCTGGAGCTAGCGGTTATGGGTAGGCAGGCGGGACCTTGGGCCTTGATTGACTGTTGGGGAACAAAGTGAAAGCAATCTTATTGGCTATTAAGAAGCAGGAAATGCCTGGAGCTAGTGGTTATGGGTAGGCAGGTGGGACCTTGGGCCTTGATTGACTGTTGGGGAACAAAGTGAAAGCAATCTTATTGGCTATTAAGAAGCAGGAAATGCCTGGAGCTAGTGGTTATGGGTAGGTAGGTGGGACCTTGGGCCTTGATTGACCACTGGGAAAACAAAGTGAAGGCAATCTTATTGGCTATTAAGAAGCAGGAAAGGCTTGGAACTAGTGGTTATGGGTAGGCGGGCTTTCTGGGGGCCCACAGAGGAGACTGCTACCAGGCAGGGTTTGATGGGGCTTCTTTAAAAAATTTTCCTGCAGGGTTTATCAACAGTGGGCTGGGTGTTGAATGCATAATTTAGTGCTGAATGTGGGCTTGGGTCTGGTATGCGGAGGTGGGTGCGGGGAAGCTGTGAGGCAAGGCCAGATAATGAGCTTGGGTGATGAGGCAGTTATCAGGCTCAGAGAGAGATGGATGTGTCCGTTTTAACCCTCTGTGAGGCAGCCGGCTTTACAACTAGGTAGTCTGCAATTCCTGGCCCTTCAAACTATAATTACTACAATAGTTAGGGAAACCATTTGGAAAGAAACTGTTTTGGCCAGCTTCAGGGATGCTAAAAGCCAAAGGTTAAACCCGGGAACTAAAGGGAAACTTATCATAGGTCACCAATTATGGCAGGATTCTTCAAGTGGCACTGGTGCCCACCTAAGGCTAGAGACGTCTGGCACTCAGAATACATGTCCATTTGGGGGATAACCCAATGGACCAAATTTACAGTCCAGATCCTTCAAAAGGGGACACCCTAAAGGGAGACTCTAGATGTAAACTCATGAACCTATGAGACTCTCTTCTTTTTTTTTTTTTTTTTTTTTTTTTTTGAGGCAGAATCTCACTCCATCACCCAGGCTGGAGTGCAATGGCACGATCTCAGCTCACTGCAACCTCTGTCTCCTGAGTTCAAGCGATTCTCCTGCCTCAGCCTCCCGAGTAGCTGGGACTACAGGCATATGTCACCACGCCTGGCTAATTTTTTTTTTTTTTTTTTTTTTTTTTTTTTCAGTAGAGATGGGGTTTCACTGTGTTAGCCAGGATGGTCTTGATCTCCTGACCTCGTGATCCGCCTGCCTCGGCCTCCCGAAGTGCTGGGATTACAGGCATGAGCCACCGCGCCTGGCCAAGACTCCCTTCTTCTTTTCCACAGATTAGTCATGGGAACCACTCCTTCAGTCCTGCCTGACTCCCCTCTCAGCTGCATCCTTAATAATTAGAATCAGTTTGACCCTGAAAACCTGTGAAAGAAATGCCTAATATTTTATTGTAACACCATTTGGCCTCAATTTCAGCTAGGGAGTCAAGAGCAATGGCCAGCCAGTGGAAGTCTGAATAATGACACCATCCTCCAATTAAATCTATTTTGTCAGAGATAACCATATGTGCAAGCCTTGATGGTCCTATATCTAAAAAAACCACCATTTTCAAAGTCCCCAAAACTACTCTACAGAAAGAAACTCCTAAAACTGAGCCAGACACTATAGATAACCCTCTATTGCAAGGGGTACGTATCTGTCAGGGCAAACAACAGCCATCTCCCTATAATCCAGGTCCAAATACATCCTAAGCTTCAAAACAATGACAAGAGTCAAGGGTCCTAGCAAACCCTTCCCATACTAGCTTAGGAACACCATATTCAATGATACCGCCTGCCCTGTTACCTCTCAGAGAAGTGGCAGGAACCAAGGATCATAACAAGGTATAGGTACCCTTCTTAGTAACTGATATCCAACAATGTAAGGAAAAACTGTGCAGTTACTTAGAAAACCCTAAGAAATTTGCTGATGGGTTCCAGATTTTGACTTTGGCTTTCAACCTTTCTTGGAGAGACATGCAATTCATTCTGGCCACCTGTTGCACACTTCTGGAAAAGGAATGAATTTTTGAGGCTGCTAGCCAGGACACTGATGAATTGTTTTGCATGTAGCCTGCAGGGCAACAGACTGGGAGCAGATACAGTCCCTACTACTGAACCCAACTGGAAATGTAATACCCCCATAAGAATGAATAATCGAACTAAATTTCTTGAGGCACCCGTAAGGGAATGAAAAAAGGAGTGCATTAAACTATGATGAGCTTAGGGAGATCACTCAGGGGAAAGAAGAGAATCCAGCCACGATTTTTTGGGTTTGGGGTTTTTTTTTTTTGTTTTTTTTGGTTTTTTTTTTTTTTTTTGAGACAGTCTCGCTTTGTCGCCAGGCACCAGGCTGGAGTGCAGTGGTGCAATCTCGGCCCACTGCAAACTCTGCCTCCTGGGTTCAAGCAATTCTCCTGCCTCAGCCTCCCAAGTAGCTGGGACGACAAGCGCACCACCATGCCCAGCTAATTTTTGTATTTAAGTAGAGACGGGGTTTCACCATACTGGCCAGGATGGTCTTAATCTCTTGACGTCGTGATCCGCCAGCCTCAGCCTTCCAAAGTGCTGGAATTACAGGAGTGAGCCACCATGCCTGGCCCATGTTTTATAGTACTAGAAGAAGCCTTTGAAATATATACAAACTTAGATCCTGCTTCTCCTGAAGGCAAGATATTAATGACGCAATATTTCATTAGTCAATCTACCCCAGACATTAGACGTAAGCTCCAGAAGTTGCAAGTGGGGCCACAGACTAATCAAAACCAGTTCCTTGACACCACCTTTATAGTGTACAACAATTATGAACTGGAGGAAGGAAAAGGGGAGCAAAGTAAAAAAAAAAAAAAACAGCAAGCCAGAATTATGGC